CAATCTATCCACTAGATAAATGAGCAGTTCAGCTGCAAGATGGGAGTCTGCTATCGATGTCCTATTGGTATGGTAAGGTGGTTGATATCTATCTCAAGGCTGGCAGGTGGGTCCAGGCAAGTGCAGTACATTTTAAATGTCTCCAGTTTGACTCACCTAAATATTCTATTGTAGGATGTATGGCTTAAAATACAGTGGTACTATTGCAAGGTTGACTTGGAAGACGAGGATGTTGAGTACGTTGTTGATTTTAATTTACCACTGACATCATTCTGATGCCTTCTTGTATACTTAGTCTCACAGCGTGTGTTGGTGAATATGAGCTCATCCTCAGTGATCTTATAACTGTAGTGGACATGTGCTGTGTCGAGGGTAGGTACCTAGAGATGGTTTCATATTTAAGTCAGTTGATTGACATCTGTCCATGCTTTGTAGATCACGCAACCATCCTGCCATACATGAAGGTGATTTAGTGCAGCCTCAAATACCAATAGGGACACTGTACAATAGATGGACCATTGATATCAAATTCTCAAGGGATCATAAAATGGTGTACACGAAAGCAGTTAACATCCATGTATGCAAATATCTCTCTGCTTGTATCTGTGCTGACAGCTGATAAACATATGTAGAACTCCCAGATAGCCACCAAGTGTGCATGCACTCATGTGATCCTGCATTTCACTTGCCAATGACCCTCCAGCGATACTGCAGGACATGCCACCAGTGGTTTAATGAGGAATGCATTGCGACTCTTGGGCGTCAGCTGCATAAAAATGTGAAGGCAGGCCTACCATCCCTGTATTGTGATATTAACTTTGACCTGGAGTTTCTGTCGCTGTTGACCTTGCCAATTTGATGAGGAAATTGTGTGGGGTGGTTGGTAACAAGAAGATTGTGAGCAGTGGGAAATAGTTGCAATAAAGAAATCCTTGTTGCATGGAGTATCCTTGAATCCTATACTATTGAATCGGCATTCAAGACTGCTTCATTGCTGTATGAGGCTGATCAACTCACAGTCATTGCCAATCCTTTATCGCAATGGCACTGAGGGCATAGGAACATCTGTCTGAGTCACACTCATGTTTCCAGTCTCTGGATCAGGCCATATATCCAGGCACCCATGATCACATTCACCCCAAGCTGATGTAACACTGGGTTTCCACACCCTTCAGCCTGACATCTCCAGATATAAGATCTGATGTCATGGCAATAAATACAGCACTCAGATATGTCAATGGTTTTTTAATCAATTCAATGAAAGTAGGAACATATGATGATTGGATCTTTAATCATGTCAGCAGCCTGAGATTTTGTGACTTGGTCTCATTGACTTCATCGATATCCATGGCATTTAAATCATCTTCCAGAATCGGAGTGAGTTTGACATAGGGTGCATTTAGTGAATGGGAATCATATCTGGCAGGTCTTTGTCTCTTGCACTTCAGACATGTGTTTGCTACAGGTGCAGGCAGCACATCTATCCTGTGAGCACAATTCTGCACTGATGGCTGGTGAGGACGCACTGCAGATGCTGTGCAGATGCTGACACAGATGCAGACATGGATGCTGATGCGGACGCAGATGTGGCTGGATGGCCCTTTGGTTTTGCTTGAGGAAAATGTGTGGGTTTCAGGACTGCCATGAATAAAGCTCAATATTGGTTGTTTTGGTGAAGGGTAATTTGCCGATTTCACACGCCTAACACAGGTGTTGTTGATTATTGAACTGTGTGAATATAACACCATATCCAGATCACTGAGCCACTGAGCCACTGAGGAATAAACTCTGAATGCATGAACACAACACTAAGATCAATGACTTTAAGACATTGTCAGTAAAGAATTACTTTGAGATGTCATCTGTAACACCACCACCAATTGTCTTGGAAATAAAATCTCATGATTCGAAGAGAATCAAGGTCCTTTTGCCTCACACTGTGTCTTTGGATGTGGAGGATAACATCCATATGTTGAAAATAGGCAGTGTGACTGAAAAGGTAAGTGTCCCACACTCATTCATGGGATTAATGCACATCACAGAAGACACATTTCAGGTCAAAGTATCCCCAAAATGCCTCGATCAAATTCGGCTCATAATCCATCAATTTTGCCTGTATCAACAAATCATTACAGTGCTAAGAAAACTTCCAAAGTCTGATGGCGTTAATGCGACTGTCACATTCTACATGTTGTTAGTCAAATATTTCAAAGATGTTATCTCAGCATTCCATGGCGAGGTGAAGGCCTATGCATCAAGCTCTACCTCGAAGTGGCATTCAGTGTATCTCAACTATCACATTGCTCTTGCATTGCATGATAGCTCATTCACTGAGGAGATGCAGATCACAGCCCTCAAGGACATTAAGTGCACCTGGACTCATTTCAGGGAGAAGAAGGGATTGAAAGCGGTTCAGCAATGTAAGTCTTGCGTAGTTGTATGAGTTAAATCTATCTTTACACAAACCATGTATATGTTGCAGTCATAGGGAAACGAATGCATGATGCATTCTGTTCTGACAGCAACAACATGTGCGGGGGGTCATTTGAACATGAGCATTCGGAAAATGACACCATATCTACCATCATTAAGAACACAACCACTGACGAATCAGTGCAGGTGGTGAACAGTGAAGGTGATGTTGACATAGAGTTGATGCACTCAGAAGAGACTGCAAATACCACCAAACAACATTCTGCGATGTCACAGTCATTATCACAGGTGATAGACATTGATCTAGGCTCTGGTGACAGCACTGTATTGCAGAAGACTGAGCTGGGCTCCAGGCCTGGCAGGTTGAACAAAGATGGATATCAGGAGAAATCAGTGATCACCCAAGGGAGCAGTAAGCCAAGGAAAGATGTCATCGATGTTGATGTCAAGGTTTGAACACAACTTACAGTGTGGCTTGGTGACTGATTCATCATGTTAGAGCCACACTGATGAAATCACATCTTGCTTTGAAAGCAATGTACATTTGAAGAAAAATTCCAAGGGAGGACGATGATTGCACAAACTGAGGGTGTGCAAGGTATATGGAAAGCAGAAGGCGCCTTCACCACCCATCATAATCGAGTCAGAGGATGATGAGGCAGGATCATCCACAGGATATTGTTCTGATCCTCTGACAGTTGAAGTGAGTCATCTACTGACTTGGTCGCACTTTGACATACTGATCCAGTGATCCGTCCAGCTGCCAGATGTGAACAATCGGTCTTCACACGGTCGAGATGAGGAAGGGTTAGAAAACGTCCTGCTGCCAAGCCTTCATGATGACTGGGAATATTGGACAAGGATTGTATTTGAGAAAGGAAACTCACATGTGTTCTTGAATCTCGGAACCTGGATGCTCATTTGGTTTCATCAGATGATGAACCTAAACATGCATGCTTTGGTTGATGGACTTATCATTCTGCAAAATCCACGGCTGATGGATGAGATCAGCAATGATCATTTCTTTGAGGCCATGGGGATGGAGCGATTGTACACTGCAATTGCACACATGGAAATGAGTCCTCAGTACCTGTGTCATCTATTCCATGCACTTGGCAAAGCCATGAGTTGCTCGGAAGTGAGCTGCAGTAACCTACAAATTTTGCCATGTAACTCCCCACCAGTGATTGAAGCACAGTAAGCATTGATATGTTTGAGGATCTGAAGCTGATAATGTAACAGGATGTTATCAGACATGGACATTCCATGGCTAGCACTAAAACCCGATGAAATAATGGCTCCATGGTCAGGATTCACAGACGTTACTGACAATGATGCAGATGGATTACTTGATGGTGATGAGGTTGAAGTCATAGATGCATTGGATTGCATGATCATCGGAGAAGGTTCCACTTCAGACAAGCCTGGAACTTGTGTGGGCGATTCAAAATATCCAAAGCGGAAGAGAACATCTTCTCAAGTGTCCCCACTGAAGGTCAGTCATTCTTGCACAATCGCTGGCATTGAAATTGATTTATATTAGAAGGATGGTGGTAGAGGTCCTGCAAAGCATTGCAAGAACTGTCAAGAAATCTTGGCCCAATCTCTGTCACCCATCCTGTCATCAACTGATATTGACGAATCTGGTTTCATCATGTCTCCAGTGGTCCCTCACTTGTCATTGATTTCCAATGCCAGTAGTCTGCAGGATGACGAATCCGTGCTCCTGGAGGCATGGGATGCCAACACAGCAGATGATCATCATAATCCTGATGGTGAACAACAGATGTCAATATTGTCAGATGTGCATCATGTGAGACCAATTCCACAGGATGGCAATTGTGAAGAGATTGAGCAACCAACCTCTCCATTGACATGTCACATTGGCGCCCACCCATCAAGCCCAGTAATCCTCATCCCTGACAGTGAATCACCTAAGCATCCGCATTTCAGACATAGTCCACCAAAACTGTCACCAATCACACTTCTGCTGCTGACTGGGGACTTCTTGCATGAAGAAAGCATGCAATGTGACACTGATTTGGTTGTTGGACCTGTCACAGATGGTGAGAAAGATGTTACACAGACTGTCACTCATGCCACCCCTCAAGATACTTGTGAAGTGAGTGAATGGACATGTCTGTGGACATGATGTAATTATCAGATAGAAATGGTTCTGCATGATGACTCCCATGTCTCCATGACATGATGCATTCTGTGTATTACAAAAGGGCAATCACTGTTGGGATGACACACGCCTGAATATCACTGTTAGTTGTACAAAATAAAGTGATGCACAAGGTCATACAGTCTCAAACATTCTAAGCATGTGTGAGACTACCAGGGATCGCGACTGTGATCTAAGGGCAGAAATACTGACTTGACATACATGATCAGCTAATTTGAGCAATGTGCTCATGCCTGATAGCATGCTCCAAGATTGTCCATTGTAGCATGCGAGTTGTTCACCATGTGATCTGAAAAGCCTGCCTTAAACCCAGTGTCGCAAGCCTTTCCAGTTCCATCATATCGCTGTCATTGTTCAATGACCATAATGTCATCCAAAAACTATCTTGATTTAACCATCAGCGTCATTGGAACGCAGTACCACAAACAAGCCCATCCATCACATGGAGAAATGGGTATAAGACCATCCTTCCCACGATTTTTGATGGTGATGATGTGAACTTATGTGATGAAGTCAATATCCTGCTGATCAAGTACATGGCACAATTGCCAACATCCGATGTCCATTCTCAACGTGTCCATCACCTCACAAGTCATTCATTACAACCTCAGACATCATGAACATCATTTCTAAATCTCTGTCAATCAATAAATGCATGAAAATCACCAGAGTACCATTCACATCATCGTGCAATCAATTTGACCTGCACTACCTTGATGTGGAGTTTGGGATTTCACCACTTAGGCCCATGCAAGTCCATGGTATACCATCCACATGCATTTCAATCACAGACATTATTCAGATGTATTATAGATGTTGAGGTGCGATGCCACAATCATGCTAAGCCTCAGATATTTAGCACTATCAAATCCTTTTTTGACTCACTGAATGATCCAATGAAGATCCAATGCATCCTCAACATACCTCTTGCACAGATTTCAATGCCAGACCAATTAAAGTATCTTTAACAATCTCGTGCAATGATGATCTCAGTGCTAATGCTTTGCCTTAGAAATCTTGATCATGGCATTGTTCATGGGTGGAACCAAATGTGCACCTGTGTGCTGATAATATCCAAGGTCCATCTGGAGAATTTTACCACCAAAGGATGGGGACTGCTTCATCACGCAGGCTTCTTAACATATCTGCATCACGATGCAGAGGGGACACTGATGTGGCTTAGGATGGAGGTTGGTATCAAGTTCTGGGTCATTTTCTGGTTGAGAAGTGGAAGGAGCGATCATATTCAACTGCAGAACCTCTCTGTCAAACTTGCAGATTATACCAGGAATATCACATGGATTCAGAAGAACTGTGATGTGGAGGTCATCACGCTTATGCCAGGAGCATGTTGTAAGTCTTGGGTCATCTATCCCATGTTGCATTGACATTTTAACATATCAGGATACTTCCTCCTGGCATTGTGCATGTGGTCTATATGCCAGTGCCATCATTTAGCACCGGAGGTCACTTCTACCATTATTTGTGCATGCATCTCACTGAACTGTCATGGTTCATTGATGCTGAATCCATGACCACAACCACCAACCAAGACATGGAGCATGCATTATTCCCTATCTTTCACCCAGGATAGGTCAGTGAATCTGTTCCATGTGTTGCGATCGAGCTTCACTAGCCATCAGTCCTTTACAAGAGACCACTTCTTAGTCTGTGCATGATGGCAACAAAGGGACAACAATACTGTGTGAAGGGCAGTAGTGCACAGTGCGCAGAGGATACCGAGACTGCACCACCAACCAGAGATATTGCTGACATCATCTATCAGCATTTTGGCATCACAAAGCAGGTGCGCACCGGCGATATCCTATACACTGATGACCAGTTTGACCCAGGTTCTGAGATCGATCATGTTGAGCTACTTCTATGGTTTCAACAGATGATGCACCTATAGGGTGTGCAGTCTTTCATTCCTGTTATGTTGACTCTAGCATTGTACATCATTTCAAATATATTGAAGATCAGCAAGTTTTAACCAAGCTTTCAAGAATTGAATTGCCAGGGAGCTAACCTTCATGTCATCAATAATTTTGAGATGTTTTCATTGATAATCTTCAAGGATCATCAGTGTCATTTTTGTGCAATGAGGTATATCTTTGTCACTGATGCTATCATGACCAAGGTAGAGTCATTACTCCGAAAATTTGCGGCATTCAAGATTATTGATAGACTGTGAGGATTGACGTGTACACTGCTATCCATTCAGTTCACTAGCAACACTACTGGCAGTGGGAGCTTGAGTTACATTGACATTTGGCATCACATGACCTGTTAACTCATGCCTGAGAAATGAGTTTGTAATTCCTGTCGGTGTGGCATGGGAGCGTCATGTGATGTCAAGTTGATATATTTGCCTTTTGCAAATTTCTTTCTTCCTTTTGTACCATTACCTTCCATTGGTGGTTTTCTCGCCTCTATGGGTGTGTACTGTCGATGACAGTGACCATCTGGCTCTGTCCTCTTTTGCGTGCTCTACTTCACATCTTCCTTCTCCTTGGGCTATGTCAATTGGTTTTCTTGTCTCTATGGGCATGTACTGTTGATGACAGTGACCATCTGACTCTGTCCTCTTTCACGTACTCTACTTTACATCTTCCTTCTCCTTGGGCTATGTCAATTGGTTTTCTCATCTCTATGGGCGTGTACTGTCGATGATGGTGACCATCTGACTCTGTCCTTTTTTGTGTACTCTACTTCATATCTTGGACTATTTCTGGCGGTTTTCTTGCCTCTATGGGCGTGTACTGTTGATGACAGTGACCGTATTGATCTGTCTTCTTGCACGCACTCTGCTTCTTATTTTCACACTTCTTCTGCTGCAATCAATGTATTTGATAGTCTAGTCCATGCAGTGATCAATACAACAATGTTTGCATCCCATACATAATCTGCCTTTTTCTGCAGTGCCCATACATGGATGGGCACTAACACTGTAGTATGTGTAGATACTTGAATCTTTGCATCTGGTTTCTGTGTAGTCATTGTCAATATATTTCACTAGTCCACATTTGTCCATCATTTCCTGAGTCCCAGGATGTGTGTCATCTTGGAAGCCCCAGTGTTTTTCTGAGTTTAATTATTTTCACTCAACTTGAATCAATTGGATGAACAGTGAACATGTCCCCCCCCTGTGGTAATATAGAGTTGCTGACCAGTGAGCCAGAACATCTTGCATCCATCAGGAGATGGACCATCCACGTAGCAAACATTCGCCAACCATGATGGCATGCTCAGATATTCAACCATAAAGTATTCCAAATGCCAGGTGTATCAAATGCAGATGGTGAAATCATATCTCACATTGCTAACTACCAGGACAATGAATCTATTAGGACCTCATTGAACTCTTCCAATGACCAACAACATAAATTGACAACTGCCCACACACATGATTCCATGTTGTCTGCTCTCCCCTTCCACAATTGTACCTGCTCCTTGGTATAGAACTCCATATGACAGTGCCTCAGAATTGCCCCACTCTTAACGATCAGTTGACTTGTGAGATCCAAAATCATGTCCATTTGATGGCTGACATATGCCTTCCTTGGTCCATCTGAATTGTCATCGTCCCAAGTGTCACAATCATTCTTCACATGCTGCACTTCAAGTCTGAGTGCTCGCACCAGCTCCACAATTCTTCAGACCATCTGCAAGTCTGACTTTGCACTGTAGATCACTTGTGCTAATGCAGTGCATCTCTGCCTCTCCTGGCTCAATATAGCATCCTCATGTAGCTTGCTCCTGGTGTCTTCATGCAGGGGTAGCCCATCTATTGGCATCGTTGGTGTGGCAAGCAAGCTGAATGACTCTGCAAGAATGTTGTGGAGGCCCTTAGTGCAGATGTCCATGCACCAGCACATGCACATATGGGCTGCCAAGGCATGTGGATTGCCTGCATTGTTGGGATCCATTCCATCCATCAATGACCCATATTCCACAATGATAAGATCCTCAAGGATGGAGGAAAATGGCATTGCAGTATCATCTGCTACATCTATTACTAGCTTCACACCCATTGTGCCTTCGGAACAGGAAGCAAACGGAGCGCTTTGCACTCCTTTTTGGCTTCCTGGCCTTGGCTACATCCTAGCATGTGCAATAAATAATTGATGAGAAATTGAATGAGAGAACAGGGGAATGGGGGAATGGACCAAAAGTGCTCACTGTGCTCACACCTTTGGCCCATTCCCCCATTCCCCTGTTCTCTCATTCAATTTTTCATCAATTATTTATTGACATGTGCCACACTCAAATGGGCAATGGTATTAAGTTGGCACTTGAAAACATGTGACAAAACCACACGAGATTTCCAAAAAGAAATTAAGCGAACTAACTGAAATAACCGAGCTAAGCGCTCCTTAGCGAAAGCCACGCAAGCTAGTGAGACGATTCCCACCCATCACATCCTACTTTATAGATCCATCAGCAGTCGATCAGTGTGTGGAGATGGACTGAATGTATCACAGGACGTACAGTGACCAGATGTTGGTGTCAAAAAAAATGTAAGGCACCGAATTGAGAATATATTGATGTTGCAGTTGCGGTTGATTCTGACTAGTCATGGAAAAGAACCACAATTGCAGCATGTCACAGGAATGAGTGAGTGTTCATTTGGGAACATCCTGAACAATCATACATACTTGTGTTGTTGCTTATAGCTGTGAAATACACTGATATTGAATGGTGATGGTTGATGTGATGGTGAGTATTCAAGTGTGTGACATACATTTTCGATGTTAGATTGTTGATAAATAAGGTCAGAAATCTTTACTATGGCCTGAGGTGGGACATACCATTCTCTGCATCCACATCATCATTGTGGACTCTAATATGGTCATGGGCATCATCGCCATTGTCAGACTCAAGCTGGGTTATAGTGGTAGTTATGCAATGGACATACACTCAGGGATATTGATGTTAATGTTGATGCGCATGACGTGGATCTGATCACTGGTACTCAGCAGGGTCTCAGCAACAACAGAGACACTCAGTTAGTTTTATGTTTATTGGAAGTTTCATTGTATCTGTTAATTGTAATAAGCGCCCATGAGTGACAGTCAACGAGCAAGATCTGGTGAGCTGATGACTAACGTTCATGCTTCAATAAAAGCACTGTATGAACTCGAAAAATGATATTGGGACGGCTAGATACGGATTACATGTGTTTGAACTCAGTTATGAGGAGTATTGTACAGTAACAGTTAGTGGTGCAGGAAACATTTAATATCAAACACATGTGTCCAACTGACACATTACAAGAGTGCGTGATCCATTAAGTCCACGATTTTGTCTGACAATAGCATTAGCCTGGAACCTCTCCATCTCATCTTGAATGTGGAGGCTAATGAGGTCCTCTATCTCCTTCCTTTGAGTATTTGTCAGCCCATCAAGCCACTCCATGTCATCCATCTGGATGTCGAGTATTGCAGTGGTATATCATACTTCCTCTTCCAAATCGTCAATACAGTCACAATATCTCTCAAGGTCCTCCTCATATCTCTTTTTTATCTCCTCTACCTCTGCCTTATGCATTGTTATAGTCGCTTCGAGCTCCACACAACTACGGACCTGATCGCTCTCAAGATACACAACATGGGATTCCACTCATTGAAGTGTCTCTTGCAACTGGACAGCATGTTCCTTCCAAGTAGACTCTGGCTGTGGGGAGTGCGCTCCCAAGGTTGATTCAGTCTCCTGCCAATGAATACATCCATTAACAAGAGCAGTCAACAACACATATTAGTTGGTACTTACTGGTGATAGCACTTTGACTGATTCGGAACTAGATCACATCCATTTACTCACCCTCTCAGGCATATGGTCGTCTGATGGGCTGCGCTTTGAGGTAGAGCAATACATGTGATCCAATGAATACGAAATACTGATAGTTGCTGACTGTCTACTCAGTACATAGATGACTAGCCTGGTGTGCTCAATCCATGAATGTCCATTATGTAAGCAATGCTTACTACTCACTTCATAACACTAATCCAAGGATGTGCATGGAACAAGGTATGTGCACGTATGCTCAGCATCCTATGTTGCCCAAACATTTCTAACATTGCCCCAGCACCCGCACACATTTAGTGGGCCATGAATTGACTACTCTCCCATCCAGACACATGTCCTGAAATGATCCATCCATACCGCCGCTGTCCATCCTCCTACAACATACTTTAACTGATCTTTATTCCTGTTGAAACACAGACACAAGTCAACTGTCATTGTAAGTACTGTTTAGTTGTCTGGCAAGCACATGTGACAATGATATATTTCGGTCGAGGACTCCCAGAATGCGGACAACACTGTGAGTATTATCAGCAAGCTGGTCTGTAGAACTGTGTATTAGGAAGTCCCAGAAGCTGGACTACACCATCCAGACGCACAGGTGGGGTCCAGGTGTATAATCATATAGAGTACACTTTTTATCACATTTGTAATATTTTCACAATACAATTAACTTCACTCGATTTGCATTGATGTGCAGATATGCAAAAAGTCAATTGAGAGCTACGACAATGTACTGGAATCTATGCTACATGAACTCGCTCAATCTTGCAATATCTCACTCTATGTGGGTCGCTAAAAATCAACTACAAGTCTCATCTGTCTCCCAAAATCTACGCACATATTGCCACAATATTTCCATTGTTTGTCATTGATATGACTAGGACTGTTTCTCACTGGGATTAAACACCCAAGCAATCTTCTCACTTTTAACAAGTCCCATACTACTAGATACTAGATACTCGATGCCATAGGTACTCTATTTATGAAACATTAATGTTAGAAAAGAAATGAAAGTGTTTATATGAATTTGTCAATCAGAGCATTAATGATTTGTGAGATCAGTCATTCGTAGAGGAAGGGTCACAGTAATATGTAAAAGAAGTTCTATGCAAGTCATTCATAGGTGAATGGGTGCAACAGGTAGCAAATGTCATTTTCACTATGAGATAAAGACATATGTCAAACAATCAGTCATTTGTAGGAGAAAGGGTGATGTGTACAGCAAAGATTACAAGTTAGTGCTGTCAAAGAGCTGAACAATGGTGTCTCTCATTGATGCAAGTGTCTCCCTGTGGTTTGTACCATCTTGAACGCCTCTGCTAATAAACCCTTCAATGCCATTCTTGTAGCGATCATTGTCCGCCTCTAGCCATTCAACATTGTCATTGAGGACATCCAGCATAGCCTGCTGAAATTGGACTTCTTCTTCCAATGCGTCAATGCGCTCCTGCTGCCTCTCAAGCTCCTCATCACGCTTTCTTTGCAACTCATCAACCTCTTCAAGATGTCTCATGTGCACCTCCTCAAGCTCCCCTCTTTTGTGGAACTGATCGACCTCTAAATCTTCGACCTGATATTCAACTCGCTCCAATGTCTTGAGCAGCATGTAGGTGTGCTCCCTCATGGTGCAGTCTTGTGCTGATGACAGATGGCAGTTGCATCGGTTGTCCTTTGTACCTGCAGTGTAGTTAGTGATATATATTTAACAATAATCCAAACATACCATTGTTGTCCCTTCAACCGACTCTAAATGAAGGCGCATTCATTTGCTTGCTTTTGTAGGTGTAAGATCAACATCAGCGCCATGTTTAGATCCAGAGAAGCACATGATAGATAGTGGTATGAGGTCAAAGTCAGCATGTTACTGACTACAGATAGCGGTTGGATTTGAAAGCAGAGGGGTGCAGGAATGTAACATTTGAATGTTGTATCAAACACATCTTAGGTAAGCACAAACACTATCTCTATGTACTAACTCACATCACTTATACATAGCTGATGCAATGATGGGTGATACTGTCATACAGGTATGTTTTGATTTCCATGATTGTATTATGTGTTTTCATTTTGTCATGCCTGCGTTAACAACACACGTGATTCACCTGCACTTACTCACACTTGCATGGACTTGTTTGAACAATTCCTGGCCCTCATGCACTTGGGCTAGCTCCCATTAACTCACCTGTCACACAAACCTGTCCACACACCTCTGTGCTCAGATGTACGTGCTTTTACCCCATGTATGTGTCTGTATCACAGCACAAACGCAAAAAATACGGTGCTAGAATCATTTCAGTACGTAACAGTACACCTTGATGCTGACTTAGTGATTATCATTGTCCAAAATCAGCTGGGGGAATACCAATCACTCAAGAAGGCCGAAGAGTGGCACTGTCTTCTGACAATCACTCCAGTTGTTTTCTGGTGATCTGAGTGGTATTCTCATGATAGAATACCAGACACAGAGCCTCCAACACCACACTGTTGTCCCAGATTGCTCGCGTAACTCCCCACTCGCTGCATCCGGCCATTCCTGTGAACTGATGTCCGAATGTGCGCATCTCACACAATATCTGTCACTCTGGCTCACAATGGTCAAAGCTCTCTCACCCATGACCACTTGCAATGTCTGCAGCTTTGCATCCAACTCACCATCAACCATCAAGCCTCAATGGGTACAGCCAATATGAACAAGATGTTTGGTCCTCCGTATCCCAGGTGGCTTTTGCATTCGACTGGTGAAATGGCATTCTGGAACGTGTTCATAGTACCCTCTTGCTCTTCCTGCTGGTACTCATTCATATGTAGGGATCATGTCACTGTTCAAATCACAGCTCCATTTATAGTCAGCGTTCTTGATGTCATTCCTCATGAGTTTGCAATGGTGCAGAAAATTGGGCTCCAATGATGGAATTCCTGCAATGCGACAGGATCTCTAGTAAGTCATCATATTACCAGAGACAAATGCCCATGCATTTCCAGCACATTGACATTCAATATCCACTTCTCCTACACTGCAGGGGGCCCTTGGGAAGTCATTTTGGTCTTTGTCATATCCCACAATCCAGACCCACATTCCATCATATTCCCATGCCTTCCAAGCCTACATCTGGACCACACTTCATATCCAACTCATTCCCAGATCCCCTTCCACTGTGTGCTCCACACCTCAGCAGGATCGACTATGCTCCAGATTTACCCCTGAGCTCCAGACCATTGGATCTCCACTGCTAGCCTGAACCATCACCCCCTGTCCCATCCACCCTATGTACACTCCATCCAGCAAGACATTTGGACTTCACCTCATCTCGGATTCTGGACTCTATCCACCTTCTCATATCCTGGTCCTGTATCCACCTTGTCTTCCAGATCCCCAGATCTCCGGACCTCCGGATATTAACTCGGGACCTATTCCCACCCTCTGTCCGATATCCTCCGCCTATCCCCATTTAGGCATTCTCTGCCTTCCGGCTTTCAGTTACCTCTTGTTCCGTCTTGCTTATTGATCTTTGTACAAGTCCTCATCTCCGAGTTCATTTACTTATGTTCCAACTTACTTACTAATGTGTTTCCACATGCTTGTACATAGCCTTGCTCCTTTGCTTACTGATCCCCTCAGATACTGTTCAGTATATAACCCCTGTAGATACTCCTGTAGTTCCTTAGTCTGAATATCAACTTAGACTTGCCCAATCCTCTCTTGGACTTTGGTCCACCTAAGTCTGTCCTACCCATCAGGCCTAGGGATTGATTCCCTAGGCTGGAGCTCCGCCTTTCCGGCACTTTCCCTCTTTCTGGACTTAGGTCCAATCCCTGTCTCTCCGACTCTACCTTAGGGTAGTCTACCTCTGTTTGCTTCTACATTGGACTTCATCCGATGTAGCCCCTATTCCTTCCGGACCTCTGGCCCTCCTGTCCCTCGTACCTCCAGGCATCCTGTCCTTTGGACGTTCTGCCCTCCGTACCTTTGGATGTTCTGCCCTCCATACCTTTGGATGTTCCACCCTCCATACCTTTGAATGTTCTGCCCTCCGTACCTTTGGACGTTCCACCCTCCATACCTTTGGATGTTCTGCCCTCCGTACCTTTGGATGTTCCATCCTCCTAACCCTCAGACATCCTATCCTCCTGTCCTTTGTACCTCCGGACATCCTGTCCTTCTGTCCTCCATCATCCTGCCCTCCTGTCCTCCTGTCCTCCTGTCCTCCTGTCCTCCTGTCCTCCTGTCCTCCTGTCCTCCTGTCCTCCTGTCCTCCTGTCCTCCTGTCCTCCTGTCCTCTGGACCTTTGGACCTCCTATCCTTCCATCCTGTTTCCTGTAGAAGTATTACCTTGCAGTGGGAACTCTCCTGAGCACTTCCTGTGTTCCTCTGGAACTCTCCCACGCTCCTCCAGACATTTCCCATGCTCCTCTGGAAGTCCTCTAGTGCTCTCCAGCAGAGTAGCCAGCCTCCGGAAGTCCTCCAGACTTCATCAGACCATCATTGGACCTCATATGAAATGAAGGGCACATACTTAGGTAAGGGGCACAGCGTACGAGCTGAGGCCAAGCCCCTCTGAGTCAGTCTCTCTCCCCCTTGAGCAACATGGTTCTTAACAGTCTTGTGGATTGGGTGCCCATTGACATGGTTTCCAGTGCACTCAAACATCCACCAAAAAGATCTATGGATTACCAACTTATTTGACTGTGTAAGTTTACAAATTGTCATAACTCTTGTGCAACAGTCTCAAACCAATTGCAGGCAGGGAACAAACCATAAGGATATTTAGATAATAACCCTAACTCTCTTGTCCTTTCACTTTGTTGCTCATGATCTTTGATTTGCATTTACCCTTCTTCATTTCACTTTCCTTTGTCTTCACCTCCATCTCCTCAACATTCACACGCTTCATTGAGGCAATCAGCCTCTTCTGTTTTTTGACCCACTTCTAGCCTGCCTCCATTTCCTCAGGATCCTTTGGATCTCCTCATGCACAGCGACTGTACTGGGTGAGTTGTGTTTCTTGTTTTCTTCCTTTGTGAGCCATGTTGCTAATTCCACTGATTGACGTACTCGATTTTCTATTTGCTTTTCAGGCAGCTGTTTTGGATCATCTTTCACCTGAATAGTGAAGCGAGGAGGCAGTTGGGCATCCACAACTTCATTGACAGCAGCCAGGAACCTTAATATCTACAATTTTTATCAGTGTAAGTGTCAGGCTTTGGCAGTTGTTGTGATACTCACAACATTACATTGATATTTTCCAGCATGCCATGTGAAGGGTCCTGTTTTTTTACCCCTGTTCATTCACTTTACCCTTGTCCTGTGACATAAAGGATTCTGTTAGTTCTGCTACTCACTCCTCATCCCTGAACTCTGACACCTCTGGCAGATTCTCATTTTTTTGAATATGCACTTCAGGATGAGAAATGTATAATAATTTGGATGAAGATCATAAACGTTAACACCATCATCATTGGAAAGTTGGTTGAGGCCATCAACACACATGCTGGTGTGGTCATGGAACTTTTGCCAATGTCAAACAGCCCTCTACTAATCAAACTCCAATTGTTATTGCTGTGGCATGAGAATGTCACATGACATGAAGTTTATATACTGCTCTTTGGCAAATTTCATTCTTGCTTCCTTACCATTACCTTCACAGGTGGTTTCACGCCTCTATGGGTGTTTGCTGTCAATGATGGTAGTCACCTCCCCCTTCTTTATTCAACTCTTGCCATCCATATGCAAACCTTGGACTATGTTGGATGGTTTCTTGCCTCTATGGGTGTTCACCATCAATGATGGTGGCCATCTGATTGTCTGTTGGCTAGCATCCTTATCTCATTCTGGAATGTTCTTCCTTACCATTACCTTGATGGGTGGTTTTGTGCCTCTATGAGTGTTCACTGTTGATGATGGTGGCCACCTCCCCCTTCTTTATTCAACTCTTGTCATCCATATGCAAACCTTGGACTGTGTTGGGTGGCTCCTCATCTCTATGGGCATTTGCCATCAATGATGGTGCCATCTGATTGTCCGTTGGCTAGCATCATTATCACATTCTGGAGCAACCATTGGACTATGTTGGGTGGTTTCTCACCTGTATGGGCATTCACCATCTTTTTCCATTGTCCCATTCCTATGCCTCTGTTGTTTTCTTTTTGTCAGTGTGAGATTAGTAGTGTACTGTAGTATATGTGCGATTGTGTGATTCAAAAAATTTATATGGTCATAACAGAAATAGGTTTCAAACTTTTGAAAAACTTCTTTTTCTGGGCTGGTACATATCATGGAGGGTACTTCCAGGATTTATATGAGCCAAGAATTAAAGAAATCAGCGGTTGGGTTGTGGAGATATGGTCGAAATACCGACTTTTTGACCTATCTACTGTATTGTAATATTAATTCAGTATAGATGTCTTCCATATGGTCCAGGACCATTACCAATCAATTCCTACACTTCATAAACCTCAGGACAGCCATTTTTAGTATCAGCCTCAAGTTAAAACAAAGCACAGCAAGATATATGAGGCAGGAGGGGGGAGGAGGACCTTGCATATCTCAAGAACATGATTTTTCCAGGGAAAACAGACTACACCATCGTGATCAGACAGGTCAGGAGCCCCCATAAAACATATTCCTATATGACTGGCAAGTCATGGGAAGTCTGTAAAAATTGATCTTTGTGGGGAGTATCAGGAAAACTGACATAATCTCTATTGAGACATGCTGGAAATACTCTGGGACCATCTCCAATCAATTTATGTGATCATAAAACACTAGGAACTCCCTTTGATATATCAGTATTTATATAATATCAAGATATATGCTATAGGAGGGGGAGGGAGACCTTGCATATCTCAAGAACATGATTTTTTCTGGCAAATCTGGCTTGACCATCATGTTCAGAGGGATCAAAAACCCCCAGGGAGAATACTCCTGGAGGGCTGGCAAGTCATGGGAGGTCTAGAAAAATTGATCTTTGTGTGGGGGTATCAGGCAAGTTGACACATCACAATTCACATAGGCCAAAATGACTTTGAAACCATCTCTAATCAATTAATATGATCATAAAACATTGGGAACACCCTTTTATACATTGTATTGTATGCTGTTAAATCTGCACAAATATTATTTGTGTCGCCCCAAAACAAAAATGTGTGACCACTGAGAAAATGTGTGTCCCCCCAAAAAAATGTGTACCCCCCCAAAAAAAAATTGTGTCGCCCCAAGAAAAATATTATGTCACCCCCGAAAAAAAAAGTGTGATTCCAAATGGTTTGTATGCAACTAGAAGACTACTTGATACAATCCATAATTTCACTTTTTCTCCTCTACAAGTTGAGTCACCATTGCTTTAACATCACTTTCAATTGCAATTGCCTTGAGAAATTGATTGCAGTTCCTGGCCTGCAGACACCCTCTTGAGTGAGGGTTGTACCATGCTTGAACTTGGGTTGCATGCTCTGTCACACATGTTATCAATAAAAATATCAAATCACAAAGAGAGACAAACTTACCATGACTGTGTCAGTGGCACATTTCACCACCACCCTGAGTGAGACATTAACATAATTCCCACCAGAACTACAATCACTGTGAAGCTGGCATTGATCTGGATCCATGATACTATGAAGGATTTGAGCATAGGCAAAAGGGCTGCATGCATGGCCGGTCAATGGTTTACAGGTAGAAACTGATTGGAGTAGAACATGGGAATTGCAGGAATGATGAATTGGGAGGTGGATGTAATGAGCAAAGCGATTGTATAGAGGGCAGGTATTGCTAGTTTGTAGGGAAATGGTGGGACTTGCAGGAGGGTAAGCCAAAGTTGATGGGGCACCTGTAGATTTCATGCCTGATAAAAAGATAAAGGGTCAATGGTTTAGTTTTATGTTGTTTGATGGAGGGTAAGATACATACATACTTGGAAGGAGAGTGTTGCAATTATGATGCTAGAGGTGATTGATTGATCATTGACTCGGAGTACACGAGATCACATGATGCAATATGACGTGAATTTGACATGTGCAAATCACATGTAGATGTCATGTAGATCAACTTGAGAATTCCATGGCACTAGCTAGTACCAAGTTATGGCTCTCAAGAACATCCCCAGATGCTCTTGAGAGCCTTGAGCAGCCAATCAGATGATGAATAAAAGTCCTACTAAAACATAAGACATTGCTTGTGGGCCGAGTACTGATGATAATAACATCTTAATGGTCTGAAATGGCAGCATAATACTCCCCAACATATGATAACAGCACTGTTGAGTACTACTGTAATGTAAATGACCCACAACACTGCACTTTGCACACAAAGTGCAGTGTCATGGGTCATTTACCTTGCAAGTTCAAAGCTGGTTAGTAGGACCAAAACTCGTACTACTTGAGTATCACCATAACTTGACCTGCTTTCAATCTCTCTCTTATACTTCATGAAGCCGCTCAGATATGTCCTTTGGCTTTCTGTCATGCACATGCAGGATATGTTGAACTGGGAATCTCTTACAATCAAAGTCGCAATGGACATTTGTTCCTGTATTCTCACTCCCCTTAGACTGTGTCCGATTGAAGACACTGGTCATCCTCCATGCAATTTCTCTGTAATAAGTTACTGACATCTGTGCTATACTAAACATGATGCAAAACCACTGCAATAAAGAGCTCAAAATGCCCAAACTGTCACCAAAACACAGTCTTGTTCTTTGTTCACCTCTACAAATAGACACACCATGTCTCTTTGTGTTCTCACCCTCGACAATGCTGTGTATGATTGACTGTGAGCAAAGGGATCCGTTTGAAGGTCAAGCATGGTCCATGCTAGCATCAATACTTGATAACCATTAAATGTAGTTACATATGTGGGTCACAAAGGAAACTGTCATCGATTTACTGTCCACAATGAACAGTTTGGATGGAATGTGGTGTTGATGTGGGGGATGCAGTGGCTTTCGAATGGATTGGTTGATGAGTTGGACTTTGACAAAGTGACAAAGCAGCACAATCATGCACACGCACACAATTCTGAAGTGTGAAAGTAGCAAAAACCCAAAAGGTGCACAATTAGATTGAACAAAATGAAGCAGGTGAAATGAGGTGGTTCAGCTTCTACAGCTGGAACCACTGATGGACACACCATACTTGATGTGTGACTCACATTTCTGCCCAAGTCTATGATCCCGCCACCAGGTGCAAGCAATGACAAATGGCTGGCACCTTGACTTGTAAGACTGATCTCTCATGCCAAGCTCTGGGATGCAACAGCAAGAGTCTTGAGCATCTCATCCATCGTGATCTTCTGCACTGCTTTCACAACCTGTGCTTTCCTCTTCTCTTGGCTACTAGTCCAATGGTGAGTGGCATGATCTGCGCATGTGGATGGACATACCAACTGATAGATGCCAGACCACTGGACTTTAGAGATTTCCAGTTTCTTGAAGCAGGTGCAGAACTTGAATTGGGAGTTTCAGCATGTAGTTGATGGTAAAGGGGAAAGGACTTAGTGGGTGAACAATGAACATACAAGTAACATGTCAGGCATGGTATGAGGTCTGCATTTGGTAGGTGAGCCATCATCTGTGAACCATATACAGAAACTCAACAAGGTCTGTGAGGAATGTGTGGCGACCTACAGAGGAGGTCCAGAAAATCATGCAGAGGATTCGCAGAGGGTAGGGAGGCTCAAGGGAGGCACTGCGGGTGGATTCTGGAGGAAGCAAGGTGTGCTATAATTAACACATCAGAGAGGCTGGGTCTCTTAGACCATATAATTGCAACATAAAAATACCATCTGAGAGACCTCTAATGCTCCCAAGAGGTGCTGCCTGAGGTGGCATAAGCAAACAAAGCATGCTAATAGGAGAATGTGAAACACACAGATCGGAAGCGCTCAAGCGATTGGAATGCAGGTAGGGCTCAGGGGGAGCATGCATGTGAGGTGGACACGAATTGGTTATGCAGGATCAAATGTTTCATCCTTACAACATGTTGAATTACCTTAATGTCTCTTAGGGTGTGTGCTTGAACATGTAGTCTGTAGAGGAAGTAACAGATGAATGTGTACATTCAGGCTTGATGCCATTGACAGTGCGCTGTCTTGGATGGACAGCTTGACATAGCACTGGACAAGCACAACAGAATTCAAAAATCCCCAGGCTATGCCAGATAAAACTTATAGATCACCTTGATCAGTTGAACGGTCCCAGTGAGCATGGAGAAACTTGACACTTGAGGCAAACATCGAGCCTGGAGATGGGTCATGGAGGAGTGACCAGCCAGGAAGTTATCCCTGCATATGCAGAAGGCATAGTACACTACCCTAATCAGGATCCTATCACTCTGCAAAGACATCAAAAACCTTTCCATAGTGTCAGACGACGACGTCCTTCCTGACCTCACATCTCTACACCATGTACTGGATACCCTCCCCCTCACAGTGCTCTGTTTGAACACCAGATCATCACTCACTGACTCTTCCATGGTCATGATCAACATGTTCACTAGACTGACACATCTGGAGATTGACGATGCCAAAATGCTTTGGCTTGTTGATATGCATGTTTTCCCCCAGTTGACCCACCTGGTGCTTTGGCCTGTCTTCTACAACCCAGGCATGAACATCCCTAGGGTGGTGAAGTGTCTTCTCCAACATGCAACCCTGCAAGTCCTTGCCTTCTGTGCCCACCATCACTGCCAATGTGCAAATTCCTGGAACACCATCAAATTGATGATCATCACATCATCATCACACCTTCAAAAATATATGTATGGGATGATTTCGGACATGGCTCCATGTTATTTTGGCAACTCGCTGATGAAAGGGCCAAGATGCCTGTCCCTAACCACAGTAACTACATCCAGGCCACTGTCACATAGTGAGATGGACTGACAACATGACAGAGAAAAGCACTGCTGCTTCTCAAACAGCACTTTTCAGAATCAATTCAGGGATCATATGAATCTTGCTTGGGCTTCCAGTCTGGCTGTCATATCCGCATATCCGGATCTCAGATCTGACCCTTATCTCATCTCAGATCCACATCTTATCTCTGATGCTATCCACATCTTATCCCCCTCCAACATCTCGTCATTCAATCTGTCCACTCGTCCGGTCTGGTCCACAACTCATCCAAATCCACAACCAGCGCTCGTCTCTTTTTGGTAACCTCCTAACTCCGGTATTTTGGTTATCTGTATATCCATCCTGCTCCCTTGTCCACCACCTATGTTTCATTTCTGTTTCATGATTTGTGATCTGTTTCTACTTACCAATAGACTATCCACATGCTTCATACATAGCCTTGGACTCTGCTGATTGATCATTCCGTTAGATACCTATAGTATATAACCTCCTGTAACTTTCTGTAGTACCTCAGTTTGAATATCATCTTAGTTCTACTCATTCCTGTCCTCTGGACTTGAGTACCTCTACTCTCGTCACCCTCCGAGACTTAGGATTGATTCCTATAGTCTATCCATATCCACCTCTGTCTCCAACAGTCCATTACTGTTAGTTTCTAGTCTGGACTCGTCCAGATTAGCCTTACAATACTTATCCCTCATCTGGAAGTCATCTGGATCCGTTATGCTACTTGTCCAACCTTCCAGGCATGCTAGTCTTGCCTTCCTGAAATAAGGGGCAATACTTGGGTATGGGGCACAGCGCACGAGCTGAGGCCGAAGCCCTTCAGATCCAGTTACCCTTTGAGTATGACCTTAACACTGGCCTACAATGAAGATTCCAGTTGAGGAGGACATAGATGAAGATTCCATTGAGCATGACATAGAGTAGTGTGCTCCTGGAGCATCTTTAATGCTGTTGATTCTCTTTCATACAATCTGTATGTCTGTCACCTACTATAGGTTACTAGCAGACCATCCTGTATTCATGCATGATATTGCAAGAAGGCATTGGTCACTCAGGCTTACAGAAGAATATCTTGACTGATGAATGCAGCACTGAATCAATATATATCATAGCATTAACATATATTGCACCATTTGTGAATTAGAGTACTTGATTCAGATGGTCAGGGCCTCACATTCACATGCTCATACTTGAGAGAGATAATGGGCAAAACTTCAGTAAAGATAAAATACTCCAGCAAAATCTTGTCCTCATCGCCATCCCCTTCATGGATATCATCAGCTTTGAGATCTGACCCACACAGGCTTTGTGCCACTGCACTCCATAAGCAGGGAAATTTGGAATCAAGTAATAGCATGTCAGAAATGGTGCATTTATCTCTCATTCTGATTTCAGGCTGTTCATTCATGTGGTTACTAAGTTGTGCGGGGAAAAATCGGTGCAACTCTACAAGATCAATTTGTTAAAATTGTGTGTGCCGCTCGAATGAATGCCAATATGATGCAGCACCCAAACAGCGAGGACCTGATAAAAGGCCAGGTGCTCCCCAGCGCTCATGTAAGAAACCTCCAACCAATGCTTCATCCCCTCCTTCCCTTCCATCCAAGTGGAAATGCACTTTGGTTAGGAATGACGATTTCAACCTTCCATGGGACTTTCCAATGTTCTCACTTTGTGGCCTGTTGGAGATAGAATTCAACTCCAGCCCTCACTTTCACCTACTGGCCCTGCCCTTCCTTCGTCTATGCAAATGATAGTTATCCAGTATGCTTATCTCGCCATGTTTTTTTCATCTACTAAGTAATTTTTTACTTGATCTTGTCCAGCATCAAGTAGAGAAGTACTGCATCACATCAACGCCCTCCATACAGCACAGTCGCAAGGAGTGATGGGATAATTTAGTTATGAGCTACTCTACTACTCAGGATCAGTCATACGTCATTTGCATTATCAATTGTGCGAATAATATTACTGTTGAACTTCTACCACTCTGGCTGAGCGCAGGCTCTGTGGACACAGGGCACTGGCCTCATATGGAGGCACTCTGGTAACCCATTCATGACTGTTACTCCACTCTTTATCCATTATTTCTTCTTGATTTCATCATAGGTGAGGCAGTTCTTGCATCCATTCTTTATTCCACTCAGCTGCTTTTGTTTATTATTGGAATGACACCAAACAGAGGCGCTTGTGCTAGTTATTTTCTATGGCAAGTTATTAACCTTGTGGGGCTTTTGCGGGGCGGTACAAATGCTATGACAAGACCTTGGAATCACAGTACACATGCACTGATCTGCAACCAGCTGCACAATGTGATGGTGGTACTATGCTACTAGCACATAGCTGACCTTCATGGTCAAGTAACAAAGCCCTCGCCCTGAAAGACACTACAATGTTGTTAAAGGTAAGTCATTCTTGTCATCAGATGAGGCTCCACTTATTTTCTCTGGCACTTTAGCGAGATCATCTCTTCGTCTCTGTTGAAAATGTATATGTTGACAGTTTCCGTGCATGATGATGACAGCCGGCAGTCGTTGTAGTAGTACTCCTTAAGTAATGATGATGACTTACCCAACTTACAAAAGTAGCTAGCATGAAATTACTGCCTTTGTTCGGTGTCGCTCCAATAATAAACAAAAGTGGCTAAGTGAATTTTCTAGATTCTGGCCTATTGACATGAAGATAGCTATAAGGGCAAGATTGATTTTGTCACATGGTCATTTTTTCTTACAAATCTGCTTAGGAAGATTATACGCAAGCAAGGTGAAGGTCAGCAATGCTTGGGCAATGCCAAACCTTTATGTTCATTTGATTACCGATCAGAGAGTGGCACAGTTCATCCAGATCCATCACCAGTCATGATCCCTCCCCTTCCACTTGAAATTCAGCAGAAGATATTGTCTCTAGCTACTCACTCCAGATGTGCTGCTGTCCTGCATGATTTGGGAATCATGCATGGACATGACTACTAGGTAGCCCCCTAAAAGACAAAGTCTGTTAGCTTAGGCATCAAGCTAGTCAACCCATACCTTGGTTTCAAACCTTGGTCAAATAGTTCAGTTTCCCCTCTGTGATTCATGAATTTATTATATCTTGAAGAAAAGTCATTTGTGAGATTGGAATCACATAATGACCTAGTTGATATTGTGAAGCAAGAAGGTTAAGGTATTGCCTTGCCTTTGGCTTATTCAATTTGGCTAGAGAAAACCATAGAGAAAAGTTCAAAGCCTAACAAAAACCTATCTAAAAAGCCTGTGTTTTGTGTCTTGTTATTGTATTATTATTTCTGAGTTGTTTTCTCTAGTATTTCCTTGATTTATTTTTCTATTGGGATGCTCTGACCCATCAGATACTTCACAAAATTGTACCTACAGGGTATGATGTCATAATGATGTCATATGGCTCCACAGATACTCCTACAAGTATTCTGTTGAAAGTTATGATGTCATTTGTTCTGGAATGTTCTGCTCCACTTTCTGGAATATTCTGCTCCACTTCTGATGTCATTGCTCCGCTTTTTTACTTACATAATATTCCCATACAATATGTATATAAGGAGGGCCCATTCTCCCCCAAAAAATAGGATCTCCCACTTGCAATCATTTGAATCTCAGTTTGAGCTACTCACTGTGAAGATTGTTGCTTACAAAGAAAGCCCCTTTGAAGTACCAAGTGCAGGGAAAAGACATTCCCTTGAGATTACATAAGTTTCTTATGATAGAAACTTAGTTTATTTGAGACCAGCTTCTCACCTAGTTTCTGATATTGACCAACACAAGCTTTGGTCAATCTGATCATTTGTGAGACCAGTTTCTCACCACTCTGTGCCTATTTGACCAACCAGTCTTTGGTCAACATATTCATATTTGAGACCATAGTCTCTACAAAGAATTATCTTAACAAGGAACCATGTTCCAGTGTCTAGACAGTTTATCCCAGACAAGTTTATAAGTTGGGATATAACACAAAAGCTCCGGCCAAGTTAATCACATGGATTGGTTTAGCAAGCCTCCCAAGAACTCACACGTTATCTGCCATGAAAGAAGAAAAGTCATAGACCATGTTAATCGAGGACTGGCAAGAATTCTTATCCTAGTGTAATTGTGATGTCATTACATTTTACACACATTTATATAAGACCCTCAGTTATTAAGACATCACTGGAGCCCAACTATGAGGGAGGCTTCTTTTTCTTAATCCCATCTTACTCTTACACAGAGTAATACATCCAAGCATTCCAGCAATTATTCAGAATCTATCACATCCAGTAATGAATTTGTCCAAGATGATCACCCCTATATCTATCACACTATCTCAGCCTACACCTACTATGGCACTGTCCATTCTTACTATGCCTATCCCAGGAAGCAAGGCAGCACCGAAGAAGTTTAAAGGAGACTTTACAGAAGTCAAGAAGTTTATCAAGCATTACAAAAAGTTATGTGACTATAATCAAGTTACCTCTAACAAGGACAGATGTGAAACTGTTACTCAGTACACTTCACATCATGTCACTGAGTTCATTGAAGGATTGGACTCCTATGAGAATTCAGATTGGGATGCTCTCAAGGCAGACATCCTAAAGTATTATGATGCTGATTTGGACACAAAGCATTATAAAAGAAAAGATTTACTCTCCTATGTTAAAGCTATGAGAGGACAATGTATTCCTACTCTAGCAGCATGGAAGAAATATGTATGAGGATTTATTAGGATTGCAGGTTGGCTTCAATCTGCAAAGAAGATTACAAAAGATGAGTATGCAGGTTATTTTTGGAAGGGAATTTATAAGAATTTGCATGCAAAGATTGAGAGCTGACTTATGGCTAAGGATCCTGACAAGGATTTGTCCAAGGCATTTGGCATGGACAAGGTCATCTCAGCAGCAGAGAAGCTACTTCACAGGGACCGTTTTGATTCAGATTTGCTTATCTCTGAGGAAGAGACTGATCTCTCATCTTCAGACTCTTCGGACTCTGACTCAACTGATTCAGGTTTGACTTCTAGTGCAGAGTCATCTGATTCAGAGGATGAGCCAGAGATTAAACCTCACAAGTCTACTAAGAAAGGTTTGAAGAAGTAACATGTTGCTAAGGAAACTCCTAGACATAGGGACAAATATTCTGGCACAGCAACACTCCTCCTCCACTTCACAGATGACACATACACAGAGAGTTATATCAGCACTATTGGTAAGTCACTACCATGAGGCCTATACCTAACTACAGTGGCTCAAAAAACTGTTCACATGTTTTGACATTTTTCACTATCTATGATATTGTGTGAGAACGAACAAATGCCTCAAGAACATGCTTATACCACATTGTAGTATGGCTTCAGGGCTTTCATGCTACTCTCTCCCAAAGCTCCCATACTCCTTTAGGGGGGTTTTCATAGGCTTGAAGCTTTTTCTTGAGTGTTCCCCAAAGATGTTCAATGACATTGACATCAGGAGACTGTGCTGGCCAGTCAAGAACATTGATGTTATGTTCTTCAAACCATTCTTTAGCTCTTCTGGATGTGTGCTTGGGATCATTATCCTGTTGGAAAATGATATCTTCTTCATCAATCCCTGATTCTGCCAAGCTAGGCAGCAAGTGGTCATTTAAAATGTCCATATACTGCTCAGCATTCATCTTCCCCTCAACCTCAGCAAGCATTCCCACACCATTTCATCCCATACAGCCCCATACCATTAAAGAACCTCCTCCAAACTTGACAGTCCCATTAACCTCTCTGTCTGTTAGGCCATCTCCCTTCTATTTCCATACATATACCTTCCCATCTGACCCAATCCTATTGATTTTGGTCTCATCTGACCATATAACATGCTTCCAGTCCTCTACAGTCCAGTATTGATGAGCTAAGGCAAAGGCTAGTCTTCTCTGCCTATGTTTGATGGAGAGAAGAGGCTTTTTCTTCTTTGTTATTGCCTTGAGATGAGCTGCCTTGAGAACATTCCTCACAGTTTGTGAAGAGACAGGGGTAGTGATGGTGGAATTGATATAATGGGTGGCTTGGACAGCATTATCAGCCTTTCCTGTAGTGATATGTTGGATAATAGCCCTTTTGTCAGTAGGGGTAAGCTTGGATGGATGTCCTCCACAAGAGTTTTCCTTGTCTGGGTGGCTTTCTTTGATAAACTTGGCCACAGTGGACTTGCATACTCCAGTTCTAGAGGAAATTTGGCGAGCAGAGAGGCCAACATAAGACAGAGAGAGGATATTATCTCTTTGAGTAGAGGAGATGGCTTTCATGGTGATTATGACTATGATACATGAGATATTCTGGTTTATATAGTTAGATATAGTCATAAAATAACATAATGACACCACTTCATAATTTATATAATAGTGGCATGATTTTTGTGGTGTCATAAATAATGATTTATATAGTTTTAATATACACTCAAAAAACTGTCCACATGAGTCATCATTTTATAAGCCTTATGTCTCCACCATATCTCCACCGATTCCCACGGTGTAGGGCTCAAATGAAAGCCCTGAAGCTATACTACAATGTGGTATAAGCATGTCCTTGAGGCATTTGTTCATTCTCACACAATATCATAGATAGTGAAAAATGTCAAAACATGTGAACAGTTTTTTGAGCCACTGTACAACTAGTACCCTGTCAAATGAATATGGACACCCATGAAGTTGCAAATCTATTTTTTGACCATTGGTACTGTGAGAATGGCCTGCCCTTGAGCATCATCTCCGATCACTGAAGGTGAGGACTTTGGACTATGAGGGAACTAAAGCAAGACCTGGATGTGAGACTGAACTTGACCCTAAGGACAGCTACTGAGAGAAGGTCCTTGAAATGACAGAGGGAGACTTCAAAACCAGATGAGTGCTATAGGATGTGTGAAGCGTGAATACCAGAAGAAGTGCGAAGAAGACATGCATGAAAGCATGCTGATGTGGTAGAAAGTGAGAGTGCACATGATGGGGGTCTAAAGCATAGGTGCTAGAGCTATCTGGAAATGAAATCCAGTGGAGAGAGAATTGAGCTGACTAGAGGCGATTGTGCCTATGAAGGTAGTGCACAAGTTCCAATTCTTTAGTGCTTTCAAACTAGCTCAAATGCACAAACTACTGCTACTACACAGAGGTGGGAGGTGCTAGGATAAGGTACTCTAAAAAACTCCCCCCCCCTTCCCTATATTGGGCGTTAGGCAACACTTTTAGTGTGGAGGCAAAGCGAGTAGGTAGTGACATCTGTATGTAATAGTGTTTTAAATGCACGCCTGCACATTTATAGCGCTATAATCAGCCTGGAAGGTATGTCAGAGTGATAAGAGTATAATAAAAACACACCAGTGGACTTTAGCGAGGACATGGATGGGTGGATGGACTGTAGTGGAGGACCTAGAGTGGGCGCGCAGGATGTGCAAGTGCATTTGTGTGCATGCGGTGATCATGCATCAGTTTGCGATAGTGTGAGTGACTTATCCAGAGGATCAGAACCAAGTATCAGTGGGAAGGGGTGGTATATTGTCCTATAATGGTGATATAGAGGAGTGAGTCTCTACATTGTGACAAACTTTTCACAAGCAAATTCTAGAAGGTGCTTCACAGAATGACTGGTGTCAAACTAAAAATGTCAACAGCATACCACCCACAGATGGATGGTGCAAGTGAATGTACCAACAAAACTGTTGACCAACTGCTCAAAACATGTGGACAGTTTTTTGAGCCACTGTATCTACTGACTTGGTGTCATTCAACAGTCCTTTCTCCTCCACTTTGCAGATGACACATACACAGAGAGTTATATCAGTACTATTGTGGTTAGGTATGTTGCTACTCTAGAACCTATTCCTAGCTATCTACTGACTTGGTGTTATTCAACAGTCTTGTTTCTTCCACTATGCAGATGGCAAGCACCTGGGCCCACCTCATTGCCATACCTTCTTCCCCACTTTAGGAACTTTTTTATGTGCCATAATATTATATGGCAGGGTGCGCCTAGTTTCCAAACCTTCTGCCCTGTTGTATGGACTGTTCCCACGACATTCCATTGGCTCCCTCATCATTGATCCTCATTTTCAACCTGTCTGTCCTCTTCTCTCATACAGTGGCTTAATGGCTTACCGTGGATCTTCCTCTCAGAAGGTTTCTTTTGATGTATTTTGCATCAACTTCCACAATCAAAGTCTGTACTCCAATAATGTGAAGCCAGAAATGCCTAAGTGCACAGTAAAGTCCATAGAGTTCTAGTTTTGGTTGGGAATATCTTGATTCTGTGTCACCCATTTGTAGTGAACCATAATGGGCTGGTCTTCTTCTTCCTTCATCATCTATCTGTGACAATATGATTCCCACTGCCATAAAACTAGAATCCACCAACAAAATCACTGGGTTGGCTGAAGTATAATCTATACTTCTCATTGCAGGGGCAGAACAAATTCTCTCTTTCAACTTCTCAAATGCTTCATCTTGTTCTCCTCCCCATACAAAGGGTTCATCTTTCTTCCATAGTCGGGTGATAGGTTTTGCTAGCTCTGAAAAACCTAAGATCCAAATACAAACAGTTCCACAAAGGCCCATGAAACCTCTTGCTTCTTTGATTGTGGTAGGGATAGGCCAATTGAGGATTTTTGACACTTTCTGTGTCTGGTAATCTTCCTTCTGGTGTACATCTCTGTCCAACTATTAGGACATCAGGCAAACATAGCTGTATCTTGGTAGCAGAAAAAGTTGCTCCAACATCTTTTATACGGTGCATTATTCTATGCACATCTACAGCATGTTCCCATATAAATCTTCTGATTCCAGGGTTTTCTTCCAACACCTCTGGATTCCCTTCTTCGTCATGATAAGTAGACTTAGATCCTTTGACCAGTAAGTCATCAATAAAAACATTTGCAACATGAGGAATTTCTTCTTGCAAGACAAAGCTGGTGCATTTCTGAAATTCTGCAGGTGCATTAGTATATCCCATTGGTAATGCAGTTAGCTGAAGCAGTCCTAATGGTGTAAGGAAAGCTGTCAAATCTCTGCTATCTGGGTGCATTTTTCATGCATCAAATCCCCAGAACAAATCAAATATGATATAACATTGCCTGCCTGCAAATGACTCCACAAAGTCATCTACAATAGGAATCAGGCCTGCATCTCAAATTGAAATTTTGTTAAGTGGCTGAAGATCATGAACTAATTGGAGTTTGCCATTCTTTTTTAGTATGCAGAACCAGCATGAATGATAGGCTGATTGGCTTGGCTCATATACTCCTGCATTGATCTTTGTACATAGTAGATCAATGACCTTCTCTCTGATGCCAGGTGGAATAGGAATATTCTTGTATTCCCATGGAACATGTGGGATTGTTGGGATAATATAGGGAGAGAAATATGATTCCTTGAGGGTTCCTTGGTTGGTCTCCTCAAATGCTAGTGCATCTTGATTTAGCTGCATTATATGTTGAAATAGTTTGACCTCTTCAGGCCAAAGAAATGCTGTAGAGTTGATTTTCAGGCTTTTCAAATGCTCAATGGTAAGTCTACCATTAGGAATGAAGTCAGGGGGATAGGGTGTCAAGGGAATCATAGTTTCTAATGGATCATGGGGAAACTGTCTCAAGACCCGAGCATCTTGAAGAAAAGTACCAGAAACAGGCTTGACCTTCTTGTCAACTCATTTATACATGGTAAGAATTGGGTTATAGGATGGGTCTGAAAGGGTAGATGGTTCATATTGTAAATATAAATCATCCTCATCAAAGTCCAGGAAATCATCATCAATTTCTAGTTCAGAACTTGGATTTTCCCAGTCAGATTCAGCAGACTTGTCATCAAACAGCTCCTTGAGGCATGCTTGATGTTCTTCTTCAGTTGTATACTTCAAACAATATTCTTCAATTGTTTGATCATCATCATCCAAGTCCTCAGGGTATACAAGCTTAGGTACTTCACTAGGATTTTCAGTAATACTATCACTGAACAAAGCTAGACAAGATAAACTTTCACTTGGATCCCTTAATTTCTCAGACTTAACACAAGGATAATCATATGTAGCATTTCAAACTATGCTAACACATGCTACCATACTTGACATTGGTAGAGATAGTGTCATATCCACATATCCAGATCTCAGATCCGATCCTTATCTCATCTTAGATCCGATCCACATCTTATCTCCGATCCTATCCACATCTTATCTCCCTCCAACATCTCATCATCCAATCTGTCCACTTGTCCAGTCCAGTCCACAATTTATCCAAATCCACAACCAGCACTCATCTCCTTTTGGTAATCCCCTAACTCTGGTATTTTGGCTATCTGTATATCTGTCCTGCTCCCTGATCCGTTACCTATGCTTCATTTCCATTTCATGATTTGTGATCCGTTTCTACTTACCAATAGACTATCCATATGCTTCGTACATAGCCTCAGACTCTGCTGATTGATCATTCCATTAGATACCTATAGCACATAACCTCCTGTAACTCTCTGTAGCACCTCAGTTCAAATATCAACTTAGTTCTGCTCATTCCCGTCCTCCGGACCTGAGTACCACTACTCTTGTCACCCTCCGAGACTTAGGATTGATTCCTATAGTCTATTCACATCCGCCTCTGTCTATGACAGCCATTACTGCTAGTTTCTAGTCTGGACTTGTCCGTATTAGCCTTACAATACTTATCCTGCATCCAGAAGTTATCCAGATCTGCTACGCTACCTGTCCGACCCTCCGGACGCATTAGTCTTGCCTTCCTGAAATAAGGGGCAATACTCAAGTAAGGGGCACAGCACATGAGCTGAGGCTGAAGCCCTTATGATCTGTTAACCCTTGAGTATGACCTTAACAGATAGTAAAAATGGTGTTCTGGGCTCTCAAACCCTGAACCTTTGAGATACAAATACATATAGGCAAAGGTCAATAATCAAAACATAAACAAACTCAAAACAAAAAATACAAACACCGAGAACATAAACACTTGGAGAATACAAATACACAGATTGACAATCAGAAACTTGAAATGATACAAAATAAAACTCAAAATGCGAAATTCAAAGCTCAAGGCTATAAATAAGAAACATAAGCCAAATTTTTTATGAGTTTTAAATGGTAGAAATCTTGGGAAACAAATAAAATCAAACCAGAAAGGCAAATACAAGAAAATAAGTTCAATCTTGATACAAATACATGTTTGGTGTCTAGACAATGACGTCAGTGCGCTACCGTCATAGCCCTGTGGAGGATTTGCCTCAACACTAAGGCATGAAAAAGATATGGGACTTAGTTGGTCCCTTTTCATTATTGTTGCATTCATCATTGTCATCGAGTTCATCATTGTCATCATCATCAAAGCATGCGCAAATTCAAAGCTGCGATGCATTAGAAACGTTTGAGGAATGAAAAGGATGATATGCAACTATAAACAGATGGACTCGTCGTATTTCGAGTGCACGGTCTTGTGCATGAGCAAATTTGACTACTTTGAACTCATCTTGCTCATCAAGTACATGCTCTTTGACAAGAGAGTGCACAAAGGAGCTCTCCTTTGAGCAAATCCTCTTCCAGCACCATTATTGGGATTACCATTCAAATTAGGGGCCTTTGAGTCAGGGGCTATTCCTGCACCAGCTCTTGGAGGTGGTGGGAAAATGATCCACATAACTCTAGGGTCCAACTTAGTAACACAATAATACAAAAGAGCATACTGAGGATCCTCAAGTGACATAGAGTTGAGCTGCTTGATCAGATCCTCAATCTCATCATGTGGTTCCATGCTAGTAGCTTCCTTGCTACCCTGGGTTTTCTTGAAAGAATCTATAGGTGAAATGACTGTTGAACAATACCAAAAGTCAGTAGATATAGGTATAGGCCTCACGGCAGCAACTTACCAAAGTGCTGATATAACTCTCTGTGTATGTGTCGTCTGCAAAGCAGAGGAGGAGAAAGGACTGTTGAGAATGATACCAAGTCAGTAGGTACTTAGCATTAATCCCCAGTGGAAATGTATCTTGCCAGCATGAGGTTGGAAGAATGGTTGAACAACGGTGAGCTCCACAATGAGAGGAATGGGCATTGAAGGGAGATGAGTCCACAAATGATGGTCAGCCCATCAAGAGCAATGCCTGGGACCAAGCCTACATATTGGTAGGTAGCTCTGACGGCCTCAACAGCATGGATGACGATGAGGGAGGGGAGGGAAAGCTGTGGGAATAGTTTGTATAATGAGTGGAGGAATTAGGACGAAACAGGCATGGTACAGGAATTACTGTATCTTATACATAGATTATTCCCAAGTACTAGCAGCATTTAGGGCAAGGTTTATGGCTGGTGTTGGTATTTGAGCGCAAATGACTATTCTAGTAATTGACGAAGCACGTAACTGCCCAGTATTACTAAAGCTACTTATTGGGAAGGCCAGGTGCACATCACATGTTCATTACTAATTAGTAATAATAATGGTGTCACACAGGAGCACACAGGTGCTCAGGTAACTACACTTTCTACTTGTCTGATGTTGCTTCAGTCAGTGGCTGAAACCAAGTTGTTCAACCTCTCATTTGCCAGAGGAGAGGCCAACCAATGATGTATGGATTTTTGCCTTTACAACTACGCAATGTTCCTAATCTTCACAGACATCATCTCTCCCCCCTTCAAGGAATGGATCTCGCAAATGATTGTCACAGTCAATTTCCAACTTCATGGACAAGGTCACCAAATATTCTGCTTCACGCACTCGACAGTCTTCCAACCCTGAATGCATGGGTGTAAGTTCCAGCACACAGGATATTCAACCTATATAGCCAATCAAGGTATTTGAAATCTCAACTGAGTATGCCTGTGTGCCAGGATTGCTACTAATTGCCCCTGCAGGATCCTTCACCACTTGCTTTCACTCCCGAACCAAATATTGAGCAATCCTCCAATCCAGGCATTGCAAAGGTGACTTTGAGTGACCTTGTCTCCCTCTTTTGATCATGTAATAACATCTCTAATCAGGCCGAACAACTTGGCCAGAAGTTTGTGAACAAAAGAATCCCTGATGCCACCAATGTTCTTGCAGGCATTGGCCATGTCCTGGCAATTGCCCAAAACACTTCTTCAGTGGCCAACAACTTATAATATGTTTCTGATATGGTCGACACATTCTCTGTGTTGCTTGGACCCTTGAGGGCATTCAACTCTATTGTCAATTGCATTGCCAATGTATGGGCATCTATGTCTGTCTTTTATGCAAATAACTTTCATATGTAGGTCCATCCCTATGTGAAGGTGGCATTGAGTGTCTTCACTTGCGCGTCCAAGGTTCATTTCTTTCAATCATATTACCTTCACAAGTTAATGGAGTCATTTGTGACAGATGATTCTCGATCAGGTGGACCATGATGATGCTGTTTCCCATCTGCTCTCGAAGATTTCTGAAGTTTATACATTTATCACACATGAGGAGGAATTAGCCAAGATTCGATCCATGCTAGAGATATATGTGAAGATAGCACAGCAGACACTGAAGTGTGCTGACTTCATCATCCATTATTCAGAGATGAAGAGTTTCTGTAAGTTGTTTCCACCACATCACCACCCAAGACTCAGTCTCTCTGTATAGGGCAAAGACTTGGCAAGCAGGTCTTTAATGAAATGGGGGCTGCAATTCAACACTACAACAAGGTTCTTGACAATCTCATGCAGCACTTCCGAGATCAAATGGCTCTCAATACACTCCTAGCTGTCCACTGGATCAGTAAGAGTGGCTTTTAAGTTCTCTCTGACCTTCTCTGACATGTGATGTCAATGATCCAGCTGAGGACCTGGACGTTAGCAGTATGAAATGTGTGGATGGCACTGGATGGAATACCTCCAAAAATTGTCTCCCAGGCATCCGGGAAGACATTCTGTCCAGGATCAAGTGCTGGATTTGTAGTACAGGGACGACGTGCCACATGTCTTATGGTTGTCTGGCATGGCAGGGAAAGGCAAATCTACCATCACACATACCATAGCCAACTGGTCTCATGAGCATGGGGGAATGCAAGCTTGTTTCTGCTTGGACCGCACAAGGGAAGCTGAATGCCTCCATGACAAGATATTCATCACAATAGCACACAACTTGGCCAATTGGGATATTACTATGCAGGGAGCAGTGGCATGTGCAGTTCATGATGACAAAGAGCTCAAGCACACCATAGACATCTCAAGACACTGGCAGAAGTTAATCGTAGGACCAGTCAATGAAGCCTCAAAAACAATCACTGCACCTGTCTTGATAATTATTGATGCATTAGATGGGGGTGGCAGCCACAAGTCCCAGGAACAGATTCTCCATGTTCTTGCTGGTGACCCCAACACTTCTTCCCCTCCACTATCCCCACTTCCATCAAACTTCCATATCATTGTCACTTCCCATCCACTCCAAGATATTTGCAATGCCCTGGATACATCACACATCCACCACATCTTCATGGATGATGATATCCCTGCTGCATCTGCCAAACATGACATCCAGGTTTATATCTCTGACAGGTCGAAAGGTCTTTGCCATATCTTTAATGATGCACACTTTGAGGCACTTGCTCTGAAATCTGACGGTATATCAAGAGCACAAACATTGTGAGCTGTGGCCTAATGCGCCATTACCATGACATTTCTGATACATCCACCACAGGAGTACATCTGTTGGATGAGATTTACCAACACATCTTGGCAGATATCATGCCAAGGAACAATCACAAGGAATCAATCCCTATTTTTCAGTCTGTCGTGGGTCAAATTCTTGCATCATCGCAACCACTTCCCATTACTGCATTGAATGCGATGCAGCAGTATTTCCCATGTGAAGATGACCAGTATGATGTGAATTTGCTCATTGGACATCTTGGCTCACTTGTTTCTGGCACCTCAGATTCTGATACTCCCATATGTCCCCTTCACACATCATTCTATGACTTCCTCACAGATGAATCATGGAGCCAAGACTTCTTCATTGACACATCATCAGTACAGAGTGACCTTGCCTTCGCCTCACTTTGGATCATGGACTCAGAGTGTGGGCTTTGTTTCAACATCTGCTCCTTGGAGAATTCCTACTTGCCCAATTCTGCTGTCCCTGACTTGGGGAATTGAGTCAAAGAGTCCATTTCAGCTGAGCTATCATACTCGTGTCAATTCTGGGGGACTCATGTGGCAGCTACATCCTTTGAAGCAACACTTGCAAAGGAAGTTGAAGCTTTTTGAAGCTTTCTTTGATGAAGAGTGCCTCCTTTGGTGGTTGGAAGCACTGGCTCTGATGAAAAACCTTGGTGGCTCAGTAGACTCACTCTTGTCTATCACAGGTTAGGTTGCAGTGCATGCCTCAAGTTTATTATTCATGTTATAGACTCTTATGAGTAGTGGGGTTATCAGAGGGTCATCCTGAGTACACACATATCAGTGATGCTGCCAAGGACACACTGCGCTTCATTCAAACCTTTGTGTCCACCATTCTCTGCAGCACTCCCCATTTATACCTTTCCACCCTGCCTTTTGCTCCAACCCAGTCAAGAATATTTTGCCAGTTCCAAGACTGTCCAGATGTGGGATATGGGGACACACTGGCACCATTTACTCTGTCACAATCTCACTGGATGGACACCAGATCATGTCTGGTTCATATGACAAGATAGTTCAGGTGTGGGATGTGGAGGCTGGCGAGGCATCAGGTCACCCTCTCAAAGGACCCTCTGGCTTGGTTTGGTCTGTTACAATTTCATTGGACAGAAATTCCATAGTGTCTGGTTCAGATGACAAGACAATTCAGGTGTGGGCATGGGAACTGGCAAGGCCTCAAGCACCTGTCTCTGAGGCCACACTGGCTATGTATTCTCTGTTGCAATCTCACCAGATGGACATCACATTGTGTCTGGCTCAGCCAACCAGACCATCTGGGTGTGGGATATGGAGACTGGCAAGCCATTGGGTGCTGCTCTCCAAGGCCACACTGCCTCTGTTAACACTGTTGCAATCTCATCAGATGGCAATAACATTGTGTCTGGTTCAAATGATAGCACAATCCAGGTGTAGGATATGGCAACTGGTGAGGCATTGGGTGCCCCTCTCTGAGGGCACACTGCCTATGTTTGGTCTGTTGCAATCTTGCCTGATGGCAAACACATAGTGTCTGGATCATATGACAAGACCATCCAGGTATGGGATATCAAATTTCTCAACCACACCACCCTTCCACGCCTGCAATATGTTTTTCACCTAACACAACCCATGCTCTTTGTTCTGCCCCCTCCTTTCTCCAAGATGCTGAAACACCAGCCCCCTCTGGCCCAACTAAGAAGGGATGGGTTATAGGTCCCAAAGGACAGCTTCTATTCTGGATCCTGCTCAATTTCCACCCAGTGACATTTGCCCAGGGCAACGTGTTGGTGATACCCAACAATGCCTTACAGTTGGACTTGAGTTGTGTCATGCATGGCATGTCATGACACAAGTGTCGGAAGTAGGAGGTAGCGCTGTCTTTGCGATACATACATTTCTGTCACATAATGGGCATGTACTTTGTTAGTTAACGGAAGAGATTCTACATAGATGTTGTACAACACATATCTGCCTTCTTGCAGTACTTCATTATGACTTTGTTCTGAAGAACGATTGCAAAGGTGAATAGACCACAATTTTATACCCTTTACAGTGTAGGACTGGCATTTGAGCCAACACCATCAATTGAGCCAAACAGCTACCACACACTCAACTTTTGTTTATTGGCCCATTGTATAACATCAAACTGATTATAATGCATGGGTCTTGGATAATTTCAAGTAGAAATGGAAAAACAAATAGATGTGCAGGCTACAGGTCTGAAATACACCCTCCTTCAGTCCTGATCAATGCACTGAGGACAAAATATTTAATCCCTGTTGCCAAAAGTTGTGTCAAAGGAAAGTTTTACTTCTACAGTACAGTTCTAATAGCACAAAAGAGGTTCAAAGCACAAAGATGTGCTGCCACTGGGATGCCAGACATGGATCTTGAAGATGCATCATTTGAGTGTGAACAAGATGTAACTAGTAACCTCTTTTGGGACTTTCATTTCTGGGCTCAAAAACTAGCATCTCAGCATTATTTTCACATTGAACACACCTCAGTCATGGTGGGTTGACCAAAGTCAGTCACAAGGAAGATACAACTCTCTAAGCAAGAGCAAGAGATTGCCAATGTAGATGGTGAGCACAAGAATAGCAGTGATGAAAATGAAGAGGAGGATGGCCACCAGTATTGATTTTAATGTGTGTCATCTTGCACTCTATAATGCTATATCAGGGCTGGCTCAAGTGCCAGGAAAACAAGATATCCCTACATTTTGCTGATCCTCATATCATGCATGCCTCACTCATTTGATTGCCCTATAATGTTGCATAAGTATGGTCATTGCATATCCAAACATTATTGTCACATTAGAATTTTGGTTTATGTGCAAGTGTTTACTGTAGGTGGCCACAAAGATTTGCTGGCTCAAATGCTGTTCCTACACTGTATCCATCATCACTCTATCTCTAGACTAACTCTCCTGTTCATTCTCCCATAAATCAACCATGAAGTTAAAATTCAACCTGAACTTCAACCACATCTCTCGACAATGGTCATGTTGTAATCAGCACCATCCTCACCATTTCAACTCTTGTCTGAATAAGTCACTCATCAACTTCCTTCATCCCTTGAACACACTCCCATCAGCACAAATGGCATCCAGATACCCAAATGGCACTGGATGAAGATTAATTGCAAGCAGCTTAGGTAAAATGTGACTGTCTGTGGGTCTGCAATCAGCCTCTCCCAAGATATCAATGAACACCTTGCTTACAATGTGTGTCCACTTCAAGGACAGGTGGGAAGGAGAGATTGTGGGGAGGAAGTGAAGGTGCACAGGAGGCTGTTTGTGAGTAGGAGAAGGTGAGTACAATACAGATGTTGAGTGGGGATGGTGTGCTTTGGGTGTTGAGCAGCGCTTAGAGGTTCATTCCTGTATAGTTGTAGTATGATATGTTAAAATGGGAGTAGACCTGTAAACATGAGACCAATTACCATTGCACATATCTCTGAAATTAACAGAACAATGCTTAGCTGTGCATACTGTAGAAGGATTTCGGTTTGCGAAGGTCAGTGGGGTAGCAACACATTGTGATCAGGATCTTGATAATGGGGGCACAGTGGGATAACAGGGTAGAAATCACATTTGATTGATGGCGAGGATAGAACTCAATCACATATAGATAGTAACTTAACATGTGGAAAGGCAACCATAGCGGGAGTAACTCGTCTTCATCCCTATTGAATGTGAACAATACTCATCACTGGGAGTGTATTATCAGCCCCCATAAGGTATAGTGAAAGACCAATCACCTACATCAATAAAATGTTGTCCTGCTGCATGACGACACTTCAAGAATGTCAGTTATATGGAGGAAGTGCCAAGCTGTTCATTGGGTTGCTCATCCCCAGAATTCTCCAGTCCATCCTCACTCAACTGAGAAGGCCACCTGCAGATGGAAAGGTGAGGGAACTGAGGTCTTGCTGGCAGTTGGTGAACTGCAGGCCCATGAAGCAGGAATAGATGTGCTGTAGATGGAGGGGATCCATAATTTGGTCCTGATTAGTAGAAGCTAGAGACAGCAGCATCAGAATCAAATAATTGAGCCAAACACAAACACACAAACATGAAGCAGTAGGACTCGTATGCAAAAAGGACTTGACAATGGTATATATTGGGCTGGAGGGTTTTTGAATTGCTGACATCCAAATCTACATTTTGGTTGGGATGGAGGATGATGGGGATGATAGCCATATGAGTGATACAGTCAGATGGGTGTTGAAGGTGATTTCATTTGCAAGTAGAAGTGAGAGCAGGCCTTAAGCGAAGATGTCATGAGGAGTTGTGAAAATGGAAGAGAAAAGTAACAATTGAACCATGTGCGTGAGTAGAATGAAATTTGTCATTGAGATGTCAGAAATTTCCTAATTGGGTTTTGTTGTTGCCACTGTAAAACTGAGCTTATACCTTGTCCTCTAGCATGCCTCACTCACTGTGAACCACGAACCATGAACAATATGATCAACCTGAGCGAGATCATCAGCAAACCTGATTCTGTCCATGCGAACCACTGATATATCCACTGCAACCTATGTGGAGCAGGTTTGACAAATTGTAGACCAGCTAGTGATGAAGCAAAACAGGTGGATCGAAACTCCACCACATGTGAACAACATGGACACATCCAGGGTTCCAGACATGATGCTGAGGAATGCTCACCAAACTAGTGGTGAAAAATCTGAGCATTATACTGCCTGTGCTATTTGCACATGTCCGGAGATCTACAAGCAATTTGACCTTTCAAGGACTTGGTTCATGTATCTGCTATGGCCATGTAAGTTATAACTTAAGTGTCTACCATGAATACCAATGTGGTTTCCCCTTGGTAGTCACTCTTGCACAGCCAAAGCCTCACAGACCTTATACCACCTATCATGTACAGCATTGTTTTTTCTTGACTTGTTGTGTTACTGACAGTGCATCCCCAGGTTCTTGGATGACACAGCCTTAACTCAAAAGCTCATGCAGGCAGGCACTGGAGCCACCCTGCTCATCCATGAAGCCACTACAACTCACAATCAAGTTGACATGACATGTGCCAAGATGCACAGCACCTTTGGGCAGGCAATTAATGGAGCCAATGGAGCGGTACTAGCACCCCCTATGGTCATTGTTAGGTGTCCTCCATGATTAAGGTCATGCTTGCCTCTTCCTCCAGAGCCTCCTGGACATTGGCTGTTTGGAAACCCTCTACCAAGAGTCAAGCGAGCATGTAAGATACCCTCTGGGTCTACTATGTGAATGCTAACAGGAAACACAGTACAGCCAATCTCAGCAGTTTGCTGAATGGATCAATACCTATGGGCCCATCATCTCTCTTCGGGTTGGGCCTGGCAGGGTCATGGTCATCATTGGCAGATATTAGGTAAAGACATACTGCTCACCATGTGCCTCCATACTCACCTGCAGAGGAATCCAAGGTTTTGTCTACCAATTATACACCCAATGTGCCTTCTATCCAATTGAGATCCACGCAACTGCCCTTCAATGACACTCTGTATGACGTTCAGTCTACTTACACTATTTTAGTAATTCCTCTGCCCGATTCCAAGGCTCCTGCACAACTTTCATGCCCAACCTGTTAGCTCCCACAATCTGTCACGGACACATGCATTGTCATTAACAACATATCCAAACTTGCTGTGCTATCTGACATGCACATCTCAAAGCTTGAGACAGTGATTGAAGATGGATGCAAGGGTGTGGGCAAGGTTTCCCCACAGGGATACCCGCACCTTGTTCTTCCCCTGTCAAGGTAGTTCAGCCTTCAGGTATGTCCGAGATCCTGCACCTATCCCCATTTAGGCATCTCCGCCTTTCCGGTTCTCAGTTATCTCTGTTTCCATCTTGCTGATTGATCCTTGTACTAGTTTCATCTCCAAGTTCATTTACTTATGTTCTGTCTTACTTACCAATGTGTTTCCACATGCTCGTACATAGCCTTACTCCTTTGCTTACTGATCCTCTCAGAGAGCCTCTAGTATATAACCCCTGTATAACTACAGTAGAGTCCTCAGTCTGAATATCATCTTAGATCCTGTTCTACTTGCCAATCATCTTCTGGACTTCAGTCTGTCTGAGTCTCATCCTTTCAATAAGGCCTAGGGATGGACTCCCTAGGCCGGAATTCCAGACCTTTGGATTTGTCCCCTATGTCTCTGTCCCAGGTCTAGGGATTGCTTCCCTAGGCTGGAGTCTTGCCTTTCCAGCACTTTCCCTCTTTCCAGACTTAGGTCCAATCCCTGTCTCTCTGACTCTACCTTAGGGTAGTCTACTTCTGTTTGCTTCTATATCAGACTTCATCCGATGTAGCCCCTATTCCTTCCAGACCTCCGGACCTCCTGTCCCTTGTACCTCCGGGCAACCTGTCCTTCAGACATTCCACCCTCCATACCTTCAGACATTCCATCCTCCTAACCCTCAGACATCCTATCCTCCTGTCCTTCATACCTCTGGACATCCTGTCCTTCATACCTCTGGACATCCTGTCCTTCTGTCCTCCATCATCCTGTCCTCCTGTCCTTCTGTCCTCTGTCATCCTGTCCTCCTGTCCTCCTGTCCTTCCATCCTGTTTCCTGTAGAAGTATTACCTTGCAGTGGGAACTCTCCAGAGCACTTCCTGCATTCCTCCAGAACTCTCCCATGCTCCTCCAGACATTTCCCACGCTCCTCCGGAAGTCCTCTGGACTTTGTTGGACCATCATCAGACCTCATATGAAATGAAGGGCACATACTCGGATAAGGGGCACAGCATACGAGCTGAGGCCAAGCCCCTCTGAGTCAGTCTCTCTCCCCCTTGAGCAACATGGTTCTTAACAGAAGGTATGCCATCCTGGTCCTCAGCTTGGTCTTCATACTCCACACTCCACAATAACTCTTGAAAGAGGCACCAAAAGCCAAGAGTCATCTCGCTCGCCTCTTCATCGACACACAATAACCCAATAGTCTGGTATATTTCAAAAGGAGGTGCAAGAACTTCTGCCCAAAGTAAGTGTGCCAGTAGGGTGCTCCGGGTATGGGTATTAACGATGTGATGTTGGAGGTGAAATACATGGTGGAGTGGTCTCCTGGGGTGACCAGTAATTTACAAAGTGAATGAGACACACCATCAACTGAACTGGCTAGGTATTGGATAATAGTGAGCAACATCAGGAAATCATGAGATCACTTTTGACCCACTTAAGTACCACTTTTTACACAACTTAGTGAGCATAAATAATTTGTAGTAAGTACTGTAGCCACATGTTGTCTCTTGTAACATGTGTTTGCTTGATCAAGTCCCATAGCTGCTGGTAGTGAAGTTTTAGGCTATATAGCACTATATAGCTCAATGTAGTGTAAGTTGTGCCTATATAGTGCCTACACAGTGCTATATAGCTGTCACCAGGGCTATGGCAATTTGGGTTTTTTCCTGATGTGAGGTGGCATAGAGGTTTAAATATGGGTCTGAGATCTATGGCAAGTGTGGCTGATGAGCAACAAATTGGAGTGCAACATCTGCAAAACAACTGAAATGAACACTTAAGTTATGTGCATTACGAACACTTATGAATGCTTACAACTTCACTAGTGAACTCATGCAATTGGTGGAGATGTTGAATGCCAATATTACTCACCATATCTGGTTGATAAAACTTAAGCCCAGTTATCTTCGGATGATAAGATGTGATATGCTTAGATATGCAATATGGTAGATGCAAATACAATTGCTACATGCTGATCAAGCTACTATCTATACACACTTGGCACTGAATACGTAATAACTCTCCTTGTCTGCAAAATTATTCAGAAAGAAACACTCATAGCTTTCCAGGCATGTTGCAGAGGTCATGCTCTTGTCCACTGCCTCACCGTACTCTGGTATAAATTCAACCACATGTGTTGCATCCGTAACCCGCACAATGGCTCCCTGTCTATGGTGGTTACCATTTGCATCATGAGTGTACATGCATTCCACAGTCCACATCATGAGTTCAGGATGGCCTTCAGGATGAGAGACAAAATGGAAATACTGGACATAGAGAAGCAGGTTAGAAAGGCATGCTGGCAGTTCCATGTCAGAACCTTGTCAAATTGTTGGCTGAAAAATCAGTCAAACTTGTGCAGATATGTCCATAATCTTACTTATTGAAAACCAGGCTGTTCACACTCTAGATCACTTCATCATCAGACCGCCCTGCTTTTATGTATGTTTGGGTGTGTTTTATTACCTTGTGTCTGTAATAGAATTTGAAACAATCAGTGTGCTATCAATTCTCCTCTCTCTCTCTCTCTCTCTCTTCTGACCACCATATGACTAACCATCCTTCACAATGAAAGGGCAAGGTTGCCATCCCTAAGCCAGTGAGGGAGTTGGGACTTCCAGCCACTGATCAACTCAACATTCCAGCTGAACAACCTTCTGTGTCAGCATTTGGTTTCAATCCACACAAAGACAGTATGCATCAAAGTGGGGGCCCAGGCAAGTGATTTGTCCAATCACGAGTACTCACAACTAACGAGCCAAAAAAAAAACAGATCAGCACTCTTTCTGTGGATTCATGCAATATGATGACTCCCATGCATCCAACTCTATGTCTTTTGGCACATCCAGCTCTACATCTTTCAGCACTCAATTTGCACAGCCTTAGCACTTCAATCACAATGATGGTACATCCTACGATGGGTACACTTATGATCAAGATAGATTTGGAGATACGGGGGACCAGCCATATAATGGCTCATCCTTAACCAACCCCCAACCCAATTTTTTGCAACCCCATGATGACGGTACATCCTACAACAGGTACACTTATGATCAAGATAAATTCAGAGACACAGGGGACCAGCCATACAATGGCTCATCCTTAACCAACCCCCAGCCCAATTTTTTGCAGCCCCAAGATGATGGTACATCCTATGACAGGTACCCTTATGATCAAGACAGATTCAGAGATACAGGGGACTAGCCATGCGATGGCTTGTCCTTAACCATGCCTGGGGGCCCTCAAGAGGGTACCCATGTTCACAGAACACCCTTACCACCATGGGTTGATTATATAGCACTTTTCTATATGGGTTGTGGTTAAGAAGGGATCGTTTCAAGACATTTCACAAATATAATCCTCCACTGGAACATGTTACAATGGAGGCGCATACGACTACAGCAAGCCTCCACTGGAACATGTTACAATGGAGACACATAAAGTACTAGGGTCAACTACAAATAACCCTCCACTGGAACTGTTCCATCGGAGGGTCACAGAGTACCAGGGTGTTAACAACAATGATCCTCCACTGGAACAGTTCCATCAGAGGCTCAACTCCATGACAAGACAAAGACATTATGTAAGCTAATACCTGATCAACTAATTGATAAAAACCATTGTCATAGCCCTTGTCAAGGGGAGTCTATCCATAGTCTAATGACATCAATAGGATAAGATCCTAATGAATTATAAGCAAAATACTCGAAATTAAAGGGTTCAAGAAAGCAATTCAACTGTGGGAACTACTCCGATAAAAATGCTCCGATAAAAATGCAAAAATCAAGCAAAGTCAAGCAAAGTCTGAATGAGGATTCAACCCAGGCCATAAGGATAAGGATAAGGAATACAATAGTTAAGACTATGATAGCAAAAAATCAAGAAAACAAGCAAAAGACAAGGATAAGGATCACAATGATCAAGACTATGATACAATAAGCAAGTCAAGGATAAGAAACACAATAGTCAAGACTATGATAAGGAAGTCAAGGATAAGAAACATGATACCATAGTCAAGACAAGGATAAGAAATGTGATAGACTATGATATGACAGACTATGATACAATAACTTACGGTAACAATATGATAGTCAAGGATAAGGATAAGGATAAGCAGGGCAATCATATGTTAGACTGCCCCCACCCACCCACCCATTAGCTCTCTCGTCATCTCATATAAAAACATATTCTCTCAGCATCTTGCTTCTCGGTTAGATAGCTTAGCAAGACACTACAATACACCACAATACAATACCCCAGCAAGACAAGCAATACAACAGCAATAAGTCAGGCAAAATCAACCAACACAATGTCAAGATTGTCTTGGGGAGCCACTGTATTGCACTGGCTGTTGCAGGAGTCAACATCATTGCAATCCTTTCCACTGGATCAGTCAATGGAATGGTCAATTCTTCAAGCAGAGTTGTCTCACTCATGTCAGACTCATCATACACCTTGGTCATGATGGCAAACAATGTCCAGTCCTCACAGATAGGTGGGATTTGTTCAAAGAAGATGAGCATGAAGACCAGCTTGAGCCTGAAGATCGACCATCTGTGTTGGGACCCAAGTTCCAGCTGAAGGAAAACACAATGGTCAAGTCAGGAGTTCATTACCTTGAGGTTTAATGCTGTGATTGTCCAAATGCTACGAGTCCAGACATTCAAATGTTTCGACATGGATTTTTCCCTGCATCATTTAACAAGCCAAAGACTTCAGGGTGCTTGATGATTTTCTATTGGACAACCTTGAATGCAGCACCTTGGCAATGAACTATTACAGCAAGATCCAGTGAATGACCTCAAGCATGTTTCCACATCTTGTTCTGGTAATGCCAAATCTCTGACATCTAAAGGACATTATATTAACAAAGCACGTGGCAAGGACCAATACAGAGAGCTCATGAGAGTCGCTGATAGTGGAGGCAGTTGAAGGCCATGAAATGGCATGGATTTGGCCATCATTCTGACAACCTGAATGCAGGAGATCTCACATTCTTTTGCCCCACATGTCCTCAGCCTGGGATTAATGTATGCTTGTCAGGGGATGAATCACTTGATGAGTGAGTCTAGTTTGATACTGAAGTCACCTCAGCGATAATAACAACTCCAAGCTGGAAATACACCCAGTCATTTGTTATGGATGGAAATTTCAAAGCTGAACACCTGCATCCCATCAAGCCATTTGATGAAGTGTGGCTTTCCAATGGGTTAGGATTCATGGTGGGAGAGGACAGGTATAAAATGCATCTTGCAGAGGCTGCTGACACATTGGAAAAATTGAGCTGCAACAATCACCAGGCGGTGAATCAAGCAAATGTGGCTCAGCACAAGCTGGAGTCCGTGGGTATCGGTGGAGTTGCCTGTGCCCAACACAGTTGCTTTGTTCCTCACTTGGTGGTAGATTTTCAGAAAGGTGAAAGGCAAGCCAATCATGCCATTCTACATTCATGAGTTAATGATGCATCATTTGCAGACAAATGAACATGGATTATGCCCTTTGTAAGGCTGCCCAGCATAATATGGAAGGCATCACCAGGGCTGTCACCTTCTATGACATCAACTGTCAATACAACAAGCACTTTCAGGTTTGGGTGGATCAAAGCCAATTTCTTGAAATGGTTCCAGAATTGACCATCATTCCTGGAATCAGGTTGTGACATGTCCATGGACATCAGGACAGCTGCTATGTCTGATATGTGTCAAATTTTATTGAAGCCATTGGTCAGACTGATGGAGAGATCATGGAGACCCTATGGTCACATCTCAACCTGATTTCCCCTGCTGCTCAGGGAATGTCATCCCTGCATCAAAAGGAATGTCTTGATTATCAGATGAACAATTCCAATTTCTGCAAGATGATCCACATGAAAAGGACTCTTTGCCATAAATACAAGCAGGCAAAGAATGGCATTGCTGAAAGTGAAAAGGCTTTCAACAGACTCGATGGAGCAGTGCCTGCAGCTTCAAAGAAAGAATGGTTAGCCAGTGAGAGGATTGCTCAGTCCAGCAGAATAAATGATCCTGTGGCGATGGATGTATATGAGATTAATATTAAGAAGGGTAAGTTGACTTTGGCTCCATCAAAGTCAGAATTAATTATTGCACTCAGCACTGAGCAAAAAGGAGATTGAGCTTAGACTGCTAGAGGAGGGTGATGCCCGTAATGCAGCACCTGCTCACAGATCAGTGGCAACATGGATATCAATGGGATTGGCAATTGAAGAGGCTCAAATTGCATTTGTCATTAAGCTCCAAAGAATTGAAAGAAGAACTACAGAGACACAGAGATTAGACATTGCCTGGCAACATGATCATCTCCAAGGCCAGATAGATGGATTCACTCAGTCTACTCTTATGCATCTGGGAGAGGGATTTGATGCAGACAATGATCCTGATGACTTGAACATAGACATTCTTTATGATCTTGATGATGACCTGGCAGATTTCATTAACACATCTGATACATGGGCAAACTCTCCTGAGCTCACTGTCATCCCATTGCCATCAAACCTTGGGGTAGATTGAAGCAGATGCTGTATGGCAGAGGATCTGATTCCACTGGAGATGATGCAACTTGAGCTGGGGCAAGACAAGCTTCAGAAATACAAACCACTGCTTCGCAAGTAGCTCAAAATCAGCACTGCCATTGGCGATCCAAATGCCCAAGGTCAGTGAAATGAGTCCCTCGCTTGGTTCTGGTCCATTGAAGTGGACCTGGGGGGTCCAGATCACTTGTGGAATGAGGAATGTGAGTTTGAGCATGCTTGACATACCCCACACTCAGCTGACAGGACCCATCCAAAGTTTACCGAGTTCATTGGCTTCAGGCAAAGGCCCTATGGGATCGATGGAAGGAAGAAATGACATTGGTCCAATTGGAGCATTTCAGTCAACCACTTGAAAGGACCTCTTAGGTCTATGTGTTTGTGACTAGCAAAGGACCTAGTGGGTGTGTTTTAGGATGGTATTCCCAGTATTTTACCCTATGTACTGGGATGTCCTGGTCCACACTGAAGCAAGTATCTGGGCCATCCCAAGGACCTATTGTTTATCTTTCCCAATCCCAACTGGGATCACTCTAGCATGTCTCTGGGATGTCCTGGGGCATTTATTAGGAGGGCTTTCCCATCATAAATAGGGGTGATAGGGGTCCTTTTTCAGACATTTTGATGGCATAAAAATTCACAATTTGTACATTCATAGAAGGAGTAGTATTAGGTATGTAAGGCCAGTATATGTGCTTCAGACAAGATTTTGATATCAGACAAAACCTGCAGGGATTTTGGCCTGAAACATCATCATGAACCTAAGAGAAGTCTAATGAGAACTGTAAGGGTGGGTGGGCACCAGCAGTGTATAACAGATTCAAATAGATGGTATACTATAGTCAAGATTCATGCATTGAGTGGACTTTATTGTATTGTATTGATTGCAATCAATAGCTATAAAAATTACTTGTTGGCATATATAATGCTTATGAGACGCACTTTGAGACTGCTGAGGCAGTGGTGGGCAGGTGCAAAAGAGTGATAGATGACACCAAGTGCAGCACTAGTCATTGAGTAATTGGATTGCCTTGCAGGCAACATAGAATAAAATGTGAGAGCTTTACTTGCGAGTCCCTCAGCAGATGATGGGGGGTGGGAAAGATAATATGCAATAAAATGTGGGAGTTTTACTTGCAAGTCTGTTAGAAGATGATGGGGGGTGTAATGAAGGGGGGGTAGCAAAGTAGATTCAAGTTAGAGAATACAAGTGTTACCTTTAAGGTATATATACTGTTGGAAGGGATAAGGGCAGGTCTGCTGTATTAGTGGTAAGGATAGAGGGTGAACAAGTCACAATGAGTCATGATACCAAAGTAAGTAGAAAGTACCGGTTGAGCGGTAAGGGTAAAGGGGACATGAGTCATGGTGAGTCATGATGAGTCAGGATACCATAGTAAGTAAGAAGTACTGGTTAGATGGTAAGGGCATAGGGTCAGTGAGTCATTGGATGAACCAAAGATAAGATACAACCAACAGAATGGTCAGTGGAATGATCAAGAGAAAATGATAGAACACTTGAGAAAAGAGAAAAGGGGTGATCACCCAAAGAGGAAAGGGGTCTAGCAAGGGCATGAGTGAGGAAAATGAATAGGGGCCAAACAAGTGGATGTTACTGTACCACCTGTGGCAGGTGCAGTTTGTCATGTATAACAACCACCAGGTTGATCAATGAGGGGTATGAGAAGACTGCTTACATCTCTGTGGGCTCAAGAAGGAGTATGGTCAGAGAGCCCAGTGAAGTGATCAGGTGAATGTGATGTACAAAATCCCCCACACCTTTGCTACATCAGACATAGATCTTAGAAGACACTGCAGTATGGGAGCATGAGCATTTCCAAGCCCATATGGATTAGGCTTGGTATAAACTCCATGAGGAGATCTCCATTAATCTCACATAGATTGTAGTGGACAAAACACTGCTGAAATCTCATATAGATCTCTTGGCAGTGAACTGATGGTGGATAGACTTTGAGAGGCCAATGTCAGGCCAGGGACAGCAGGGGGGAAGGGTACTGTAGCAGTGATCTACCACTAAAATGATAGATATTGCTCAACCAGGCTTCTGAGGATCAAAGGCAACACAATATGGACTGATTTCATTAGGTATCCTTTGAGCACCTGCTGTAGGGATTTCATTCACTGTGGGCTTGTATAGGCAGATATTACTTAGTGTTATGTTCGCACTTTTGGTGCTTATGTAATCATCATAGTTTTCACCACCTACCAGTACCAGTCTGAGACTGAGAGTTATTAGCATGATTTCCTATCCTCTCTGAGCACTGAGCTTAGTCCAGGAACCCTTTAGGGTTGAATAGCAGCTAGGCATAGCACATTTGACCCAACTTTAGAAGGTTACTTTCCAGTTCTCTTCTTGTTATGTTTCTCACACTGCCTTCCCCTTGTATGTTACAATTTAAGTTTCCCATTTTATGGTATATAGACATCTTTCCTATGTAGCCTATGGCAGTCAAAGGTAGATTGGGTGTAATCAAAGTAGATAGGCTGTATTGTAAGTAGAATGTGAGACATATGTTATTAAATCTGCATAGGCTGTACAATGCAGACCTGGTCAAAACAAAGAGTAGTGGTAACATTAGTGCCAAGCATGAGCCTCAAGTCTACATTGTGGGACATTGTGCTACACTTTGACACCATCATGATCCCACTGTGATAAGCCTCATGCTGTATCTGATGCATGTCAGTAATTTAATGACATAAAATATGGTGCAACTCACTGTATCACAATGTTACAGCATGGAAGTGATATCTGGTGTTGGCCTAGGATAGCAACTGTGCATTTGTCACTGTGTATGTCATGCAAGGTACCTCAGTACCCTCTTTTCTTTTCTCCAATAATATGAACCTCTTTACCAAGATAAGCATGGAACGTCTCAATGTGTGAGTTCTAGACTTTCATTGTGAATCACATTGGTACCTCAATCTATTGAGAATTAGCAAACAGATGCTGCTTAAGACTTGATTTAACTAACAGCTGAGAGGTCATTATCAGACCTAAATACCAGCCAGGCTTTAGGAAAGTCAATGCTTTCCATGATCCCTGTGGCTTGATACTCAGGCCTACAGGCCATGCTAATACAGTCTCCTGGCTTGATGTCATAGCCTTTGTCCTTCATGAATTTCAGGGTGGAGAGAATGTATGTGAAGTGGACTGCAGAGGCAGTTACTTTGATCAAGGGTGTCTTGAGGCTGTCCTTGACTGTGAGTGGAAGGTTGGCATCCCAGAACCATACCATCAGACCTCCTGGAGTGATCTATTCAACAATGCTGGACTTCCTAAGGAGCTCTCCCCTAACAACTTTGATGAAGTCACCAATTTTGATGGATTCTTGTTTAGGCAGAGGTTCAATGTGTTGGGACAGGAGAAGTTGTGCTTGAAGCAAATGCTTCAAGGGATGACAATCCAGGTAATATTGAGACACCTGGATCTTTACAAAATTATGGCTTTGCTAAGATAGAAAGAAATATCTCTGTTTGTTGGTTGTATGTTAACATATGTTGAATATCTCTCCTGTCTTTTGAATAATATGCCCTTGAACTCCCAAGTGCACACCATCTATAACTATGACTTCATCACTAACCCTTCAAACTCACTCCACATCTTGAAGATGAGCTTCAGTTTCATTGCAAATACCATCAACTTCAATTTGCAATTGTAAAGAGCTGCTGGATGTATGGTCAACAGATAATGTTGTGCTGATTTCTGAAGGGAATTCACCTTGAATCAGATGCACACAGTCACCAGAATGTAAGATGTGCATTGAGAATGCATTTTGGCTTGCTTGACAAAAGCCAGGTCAAATCTTGACTGGCAGTGGAGGCAGATATTGTCTGGGTGAGGAATGGAGACCTGATCAATGATGTAATGGTGAAAGTTCTTCTTGAGAAATCTGCTGTAGTAGTCCTCACCTTAAAATTCAACCCTATGACATCACCACCATGAGTAATGCCAGTCTTGGCCTAATTGGCTAGAATGTGGGATCTGTCAAACAATGACACTGATCCATTGGGCATAGGATAAGGAAAATCCCTCTGGGATTAGAACTGCAATGAACTTGTTGGTCTAGTCAGGATTGAAAATGTAGGCAATGTTGCCTTTGTATTTGCTGCCTTTGATTCAGACCTATGATGGATTGGGAAGTTTAAGGGTGGAGTGTTTGAGGGATTCAGCACTTTTTTTGGAAATGCATTCCCATTTCCTAATGGATGAAGAATGCAAGTAGAGAAGGGATGCTAATATCTTTTTTGGACTGTCAGAACACAGGCAGCATGGGCTATTAGAAAATATTGTGGCCACTGAGTTCTTCACCAAAATATTATGCTTGATTTTGACAATAATATCTCCTAGTTTTCCTACTACTTACTACTTACAAGTATTCACAGCATACTTTCCAGATACTTAACATGTCATTATTTGACTTCTGGCATCTCAGCTTGAAACATGTCACAGCAGGTCACATTCATGTGACCTCAAGGATTTGAATGAGGTCTACCTCAACAGGTGGGAGGTAGGACACAATATAGTGAGGGCAGCACAAATTTTAATTGAGCATTCTGCATCGCCTGCCACATTCTACTACTACCATAGGTATTTATATGTGTAGCATTGGACATCTAATGAATGTGGTATTATAGTATAGGTAAAAATAGTGTAGGCTATGATGGTATGTGGAAAGAAGGAAAGAAGAATCATTTGTCATCCATGAACTTCAGATAGGGATGACCAATTGCAGTTGAAACTCAGTGGGTTGTTTCCAAGAATGGCTGGCAGTGAATGCTGGTATGACAGTCAAGTTTTCCTTGGGCTTATATTTACTTACTTTACTTACCTTTACCTACCCCCACTTTCTTTAGCTTATGTTTGCATTTTTGCTACTTACTTAAGCATGTCTTTCTTTCACTAGTGTCAGTACCTGTTAAGGTCATACTCAAGGGTTAATGGATCCTAAGGGCTTTGGCCTCAGCTTGTGCACTGTGCCCCTTACTTGAGTATTGCCCCTTATTTCAGGAAGGCAAGACTAACATGTCCAGAGGGTCGGATGGGTAGTGTAGCAGATCCGGATGACTTCTGGATGTAGGATAAGTATCGTAAGGCTAATCCAGACAAGTCCAGACTAGAAACTAGCGGTAATGGCTGTCATAGACAGAGGCGGATGTGGATAGACTATAGGAATCAATCCTAAGTCTCAGAGGGTGACAAGAGTAGTGGTACTCAGGTCCGGAGGACGGGAATGAGCAGAACTAAGTTGATATTTGAACTGAGGTGCTACAGAGAGTTACAGGAGGTTATATACTATAGGTATCTAACAGAATGATCAATCAGCAGAGTCCAAGGCTATGTACGAAGCATATGGATAGTCTATTGGTAAGTAGAAATGGATCACAAATCATGAAATGGAAATGAAGCATAGGTAACAGATCAGGGAGCAGGATGGATATACAGATAGTTGAAATACTGGAGTTAGGGGATTACCGAAAGGAGATGAGCACTGGTTGTGGATTCAGATGAATTGTGGACCAGACTGGACGAGTAGACAGATTGGATGACAAGATGTTGGAGGGAGATAAGATGTGGATTGGATCTGAGATGAGATAAGGATCAGATCTGAGATCTGGATATGTGGATATGACAGTACCAGTCTGAATGAAAGTCCTTTTTGATGATACTTTCTACTCTCTGAGCATTGAGCCAAGTCAGAATCCCATGAGCTGAACATACTGCTTTCCACTTAGCAGCTTGGCCAGCTGTATTGTGATTCCCACACTGGTAGGACTTGAACTGTTGTGGTATTCCCTATATTAACTGCTTTCCCACCAACTTTATTCCTCTTTTGATCCACCACATATCCAAAGTCTATAGTCTATAGCATATGTACTAGACAGCAGTTTTTAGTATCTGTGATTAGCTTAAGTTATAGACTGGATACATGACATGTCTAGTATTCTTCACATGTAGACTTAATTATAGATGAGCTACAGTCATGATCATAGTGTTAATTATAGACTTGACAGATGTAGTAGTGTAGTGTCTATTCATGTATAGACTTTAATCACAGACTTAATCATAAACAGGCTTTGATCATAGACTTGATAGATGACTGTATTGTCTAGTCTTCTAGAGGTGCATCAATGATGGACTTAATTATCAATGACATTAAAGCATAGAGTTTTTCATAGCAAACCTGTTGAAAATTTAAAGTTGAGGTACATTCTAAGTTACCTGTTCTAGATCTCACATGTCTAATTATGGTGTCTGATTTATAGACATCATATGGATCTTATGATAGAGGGAAAGCTTGATGGTGGGGCATGCATGTGGACTACTGGTAAGTTTGAGAATCAGATTTTTGATTGCTAATGTTTATGCAATAATGTAGGTGTGTGAGCGCTTGCCAAAATGATGGAGTTGAGATCACCATGTCAATGACAAGGGTAACCATGCTGCACTCTGTGCTGTGTCCTTTTTGGACAGTGAGCAGTTGATTGGTGATGCTGCTAATAACCAGGTCACCATGAGGTATGTTTTGACTGTGTTGCTTTCTTGGGCTAACTCATCTTTATAGTGTTTCCAATGGTGAGGTTCAGCCTAATATCAGGCACTCCACCTTGTTTTCAACAAGTGGTGTGGATGTCTCATCCAAGTGAAGTACAAAAGAGAAAAATCTTGTTGATTGTTCTGCTTGAAATATATTATGGTCTCATCCTGTGACAGTCAGGTGGATGAGAGCTCTCAGAGGATGGAAACTGTGTGGCAGAAGTGTGGAGCATGAGGTGAGGCTGTTCATCTGATCGCATGTTATTAATCATAAATTTTGCACCCAGCAGGCCTATTAAGTGCATTACTTGTCATATTCAGTAGGTAGTAATTATATGCTTGTATGATAGTTTTACTCATATGGGACTGGCCAAGTCAATGGATATCTGCAGGGGGCATACTTACTCCCAAGACCTCCTCCCTAAGACTCATGCTGCAAGACATTGATGATAATGATAGGTTATCCCTCAGCAGCTTGACTGAACTGTTGAATGATTCTTGCAACAGTGAAATGCTGCAATCTGTGACTGATGGCAAGTTGGTTTCACAAGTGGCTGCCATGCTCAAAGACAGCTCTAAGTGTGCCCTTTGGAAGTGAACAAGGACTCTGCACTCTAAGACCATCCTTCTGAAACAAATTATTTGCAAGTGAAAGTAGTTGGAAAGCCAGCTGGTGAAACACTTTATCATCAATGTGAACCACAACTTGGAGTATTGGGTGTGTAAGGTGTGTTAAGGTCATGTGTGCAAGGGGGTCGGATCACAAGGGCTTGGCCTCAGCTTGTACACAGTCATCTGGAGTTTCCAGGATTTGACTAGGGCAGACAATGGATGTCCAGATCTGAAAGATGAGATAAATCTGATGGATGTCTGGATGTTATTTGGACAAGCAGATAAGACTAATCCAGATGAAGTCCAGATGTTAAGAACCATGTTGCTCAAAGGAGAGAGAGACTGACTCAGAGGGGCTTGGCCTCAGCTCGTACACTGTGCCCCTAGGTATGGAAGGAATAGGGGCTACATCAGACTCTGTCTGATGTAGAAACAAACAGAGGTAGACTACCCTAAGGTAGAGTCAGAGGGACAGGGATTGGACCTAAGTCCAGAAAGAGGGGAAGTGCCAGAAAGGTGGAGCTCTGGCCTAGGGAATCAATCCCTAGGCCTGATGGGTAAGTCCAAGAGAGGATTGGGCAGGTAGAGCAAAGTCTAAGATGATATTCAAACTAAGGAAACTACAGGAGTACCTACAGGGGCTACATACTGGAGAATATCTGAGGGGATCAGTAAGCAAAGGAGCAGGGCTATGTATGAGCATGTGGAAACACATTAGTAAGTAAGATGGAACATAACTAAATGAACTCGGAGATGAAGATTTGCACAAGGATCAATAAGCAAGATGGAATGAGAGGTAGCTGAAAGCCAGAAAGGTGGAGATGTCTAAATGGGGATAGGTGCAGGATATTGGACAGAGGGGGCATATGACAAAGGTGCTTATGTATAGGCTTATAGGCGTCTCCCTCAAAGAACTCTAGGCTTGCATCAAAAATGGTCTCAAGGATAGAGCACAGGTACATGAGTTTTTTAGCATGAGCTGGCCAACACTCTCATTACATACTTTGTAAGATGAGCAGAAGCCAATGTTGAGGTAGGTGCTTATTTACTTTGGCAGGAGGATGAACTGACAGGTCGCCAGACCTGTGGATTATTGAAGGGATACACACACTACATTCCAGGACCTCACACACCATCAGTGATGGGGCAATCTTCAGAGTGTCTTGACAATGCAGAGAGTGCAGGTAGCAGAGTGTATTTTGATGGAATCAAGGTAAGGCTGTTTGTGATTGCCCTAGGTATGATCTGTCTAACTATATATATAGACACAGATGCCTGATAAAGTGCCAGTGTCTATGCAGCACACTATTTGTGATGGTCACCACAACCAGGGGGACATCCTAATGAAGTATGCCAAGGCCAGCATTCCCCCAGGTGAAACTCTTACTGAGACCAACAATCAAGGAAATTTGTATGAGAGGGGGCAGAATACATTTATGAAGACGATGAGTTTGCATCAGAGAGCACTGGTGTGATACACCTCATTCATGGCTGGCCAGAGCAAGGCCATGATCCTGAAATGGTTAGCAGTTCCTCCATGTTACAACTTGCTTCTCTTATGTTTAACCACTAGCATGGGATTCACCTGTCTAAAGACATGGTGTCTGGACCTCATGGCACCCCATATATTTATGCATACTTCCAGGTGACTGAGGTCTTGGCCTTGTACTTTGCTGAAATGTTTTGCATGGCCTTTCCAGAATTTTATGAGGAATACAGGAAGACAGTTGAGGCAGGCAAATAGACAGTAGTTAATCCCAGGCCATTTCTGGGTAGGGTGATTATATGGAAATTATCAGTACTCCCACACCAGGACAGCTTAGATGAGGAGCTAGCAGTTATTTTTCTAATGGGCCATTTTAAAGGTGGAGAGTGTTACCTGCCTGATCTCAAACTCAAACTATGATGAGTCTCACTGTATTCAGTCATTTAGCATGTCCTCATACTTTTCAAGGTACTGGCTGGGTAAGGTTATCATTCTCATGGCTAGTACACTCTATTATGGCATAGGGGACTAGACTCCTGAGCCTGGAGTGTCAGAGGATGGGGTTATGCCAGGGGAGGTATCTAATGTGTGGTTCTTTCCCCATTCTTCATATGAGCTCTTGAAAGATAAACCTGCTGGCTGGTCTCCTGCAGGGGCAGGGGGACTATAAATATCGACAGTTACATGTCATAACATATTACACTGATGTTCTTCTTACAGTCTCATGCATTTTCTACTGTCTTTTAGTGAGTAATACCGAGGTATGGGCATGTAGGCCTAGGTAACAGAGGAGTGAACACTAATGGGGGAGCCCCTTCAGTGACAAACTCCATATTATATGGGTCACCTGACCTACATAATATCCCATATAAGATGGGCCAGCAGACTATAGGCCGATGTTATGTATGTATATCCTTGATGTTGACAGGTGGGCCAGAAGAGATATTATTTCCAATGGGAATGGGTGGGCCCATCTATGCTAATGTTATAAATATCCTCAACAATAGTGGATGGACCAGGAGAAATATTATTACCAATGGAGATGGGTGGGCCCATTTGGGTAATATGTAGAGTAGAATAGACATATATTATAGACAGCTGGGCTGAAAAGAGATATATGGCAGATATTATTATATAGACAGGTGGGCCGATATATTAGTATTATTTTGTAGATGGGTGGGCTGATGGGGTGGTGAAATATTTATTATATATACAGGTGGGCTGACATGGGGGTATATTAGATAGATGGGTGGGTGTTACAACCATGTACATCCCTATTCATTTTCTCTCTTACTGTCTATTACATCATGAGCCGCATGACACCGCCACTAGACTTATCTGTGACTCATACCTTGTATTACATCACAATTGCTGTTGCTGTCACTAGATGACCTATTTTTGTTATCACTTACGTATTCTTTATCTCTGACTCATATCTGTTCTCATGCCTGCCCTAAAGCACTTGTAGCTCACTATAAATAGTCCTCTTGTACATTTTAGTTCGGTACTTTAATCTTACTAGGTTTTACCTGAAACATCCTTCACTTGAGACCTCCAATCTCTTGTCATCTGAACCGTACTTTAAGTTAGAAGCACTCCTTCTGACTTAGCTTACATCAAACACTTGACTTATCATCTTGCATAGAATCTCAGCAGAGGTCCTTACTCTTATTGAGTTGTCTGTCGTTAGAACTATCCTAGTTTGTAACAGTGGGCTGACATAGTGGTATATTACATAGACAGATGGGCTGATGTAGGTGTATATTACATAGATAGGTGGGCTGATGTAGGGGGATGTCATATAGATGGGTGGGTCCAGATATGTATCATTTAGACATATGGGCCGAGGTATTGGTATACCATATGGACATATGAGCAATGCTGTTGCACTAGTTTTGATCTGAGTCATCAATGGCATTCAGACTCAGATCCTGTCCATGTCAATCAAAGTCAACACAGCCAAGTGCCCTGTCAACTCAGAATCCAGTGATACCTCAGAATCATTGATGGCAAACACCCATAGAGGTGAGAAACCACCCAACATAGTCCAAGGTTTGCATATGGATGACAAGAGTTGAATAAAGAAGAGGAAGGTGGGCACCATCATCAACAGTGAACATCCATAGAGGTAAGAAACCACCCATAAAGGCAATGGTAAGGAAACAAGAAAGAAAATTGCCAAAGGGCAGTATATAAACTTCATGTCATGTGACATTCTCATGCCACAGCAACAACAATTGGAGTTTGATTAATAGAGGGCTATTTGACATTGGCAAAAGGTCTGTGACCATACCAGCATGTGTGTTAATGGCCTCAACCAACTTTGCAACAATGAAAGCATTGACATTTATGATCTTGAAGTGTGTATCCCAAAAAATGAGAATCTGCCAGAGGTGTCAGAGTTTAGGGATAAGAAGTGAGTAGCAGAACTAACAAAATTGAAGTTACAGGATAAGGGTAAAGTGAATGAACAGGGGTAAAAGGCAGGACCCTTCACATGGCATGCTGGAAAATATCAATGTAATGTTGTGAGTATCACAACAACTGCTGAAGCCTGACACTTATGCTGATAAAAGTTGTAGATGTCAAGGTTCCTGGCTGCTGTGGATGAAGTCATGGATGCCCAACCATCTCCTCACTTCACCATTTGGGTGAAAAATGATCCAAAACAGCTGGATGAAAACAGGAGGTTATATACTATAGGTATCTAACAGAATGATCAATCAGCAGAGTCCGAGGCTATGTACAAAGCATATAGATAGTCTATTGGTAAGTAGAAATGGATCACAAATCATGAAATGGAAATGAAGCATAGGTAACAGATCAGGGAGCAGGACGGATATACAGATAGCCGAAATACCAGAGTTAGGGGATTACCAAAAGGAGACAAGTGCTGGTTGTGGATTCAGATGAATTGTGGACCAGACTGGATAAGTAGACAGATTGGATGACGAGATGTTGGAGGAGGATAAGATGTGGATAGGATTGGAGATAAGATGTGGATTGGATCTGAGATCCAGATATGTGGATATGACAATGCCTGGAGGTGCACAGGACAGGATATCCAGAGGTCTGGAAGGAATAGGGGCTACATCGGACAAAGTCCAATGTAGAAGCACACAGAGGTAGACTACCCTTAGGTAAAGTCAGAGAGACAGGAAGTGGACCAAAGTCCAGAAAGAGGGTAAGTGCTGGAAGGGCAAGACTCCAGCCTTGGGAAGCAATCCCTAGACTTAGGACAGAGACATAGGGGACACATCTGAAGGTCCAGAATTCTGGCCTAGGGAATCCTTCCCTAGGCCTTATGGAAAAGGATGAGACTCAGATGGACTGAAGTGTGGAAGATGATTGGGTAGATCTAAGGTGATATTCTGACTGAGGACTCTACTGGAGTTGTACAGGGGTTATATACTAGAGGATATCTGAGAGGATCAGTAAGCAATGCAGTAAGGCTATGTACAAGCATGTGGAAACATATTAGTAAGTAAGATGGAACATAAGTAAATGAACTTGGAGATGAAACTAGTACAAGGATCAATCAGCAAGACGGAAACAGAGATAACCAAGAACTGGAAAGGTGGAGATGCCTAAATGGGGATAGGTGCAGGATATCAGACAGAGGGTGGGAATAGGTCTGGAGATCTGGGGATCCGGAAGACAGGGTGGATACAGGACCTGAATATGAGGAGGTGGATATAGTCTGAAATCTGAGATGAGGTGAGGTCCAGATTTCTTGCTGGACAGAATGTGCATAGGGTGGACAGGATAGGGGTGTATGGATCAGGCTAGTAGTAAAGATCCAGAGCTCCAGAGCTCAGGGGTAATTCCATAGCAGATCTAATCCTGCTTAGATATGGAGCACACAGTGGAAGGAGATCTGGGAATGAGTTGGATATGGGGTCCGGAAATAGGTCCGGAAAGCGTGGGAATATGATGGGATCTATGTCTGGCATATGGGATATGACAGTATTCTATTATTAGCATAGCACCCAGATCACCAAAAAATGACTGAAGTAATTGTCACAAGATGGCACCACTTACCAACCTTCTTGAGTGATTGGTATTCCCCCAGCTGATTTGGACAATGATAAGCACTAAGTCAGTTATCAAGGTGTACTGTTACATACTTAAATCATTCCAGCACTGTATTGTTTGTGTTCATGCTGTGATACAGACATGTACATGGGGTAAAAGCACATACATGTGAGTGCAGAGGCATGCAGACAGGTTTGTGTGATGGGTGAGTTAATGGGAGCTAGCCCAAGTGCATGAGGGCCAGGAATTGTTCAAATGAGTCCATGCAAGTGCAAGTCAGTGCAGATGAATCACATGTGTTATTAATGCAGGTGTGACAAAATGAAAACACATAATACAATCATGGAAATCAAACCATACCTGTATTACAGTATCACCCATCATTGCATCAGCTATGTATAAGCAATGCAGTGTAGGGATTTCATTTACTGTGGGCTTGTATAGGCAGATATTACTTAGTGTTATGTTCGCACTTTGGTGCTTATGTAATCATCATAGTTTCACCTCTTACCAGTACTAGTCTGAGACTGAGCAGTTATTAGCATGATTTCCTACTCTCTCTGAGCACTGAGTCTATTCCAGAAACCCTTTAGGGTTGAATAGCAGCTAGGCATAGCACATTTAGCCCAACATTAGAAGTCTACTTTCTGTTACAGTAACATCCACTTGTTTGGCCCCTATTCATTTTCCTTGCTCACACCCTTGCTGGACTCTTTCCTCTTTGACCAATTGCCCCTCTTTTCCTTCTTGACCGTTCTACCCTTTTCTCTTGATTGTTCCACTGACCATTCTGTCAGTTGTACCTTATCCTCAGTTTGTCCAATGACTCACCGACCCTATGCCCTTAACCACTTAACCAGTACTTCTTACTTACTATGGTATTTTGACTCATCATGACTCACCATGACTCATGTCCCCTTTACCCTTACCACTCAACCAGTACTTTCTACTTACTTTGGTATCTTGACTCGTCATGACTCGACTAGCCCTCTACCCTTACCACTAATACAGCAGACCTGCTCTTATCCCTTCCAATGGTATATATACCTTATGGGTAGCACTTGTATTCTCTAACTTGAATCTACTTAGTTCATACTGCCTACCCTTTGAGCCCTAAGCAAGCTCTCCTCTTTAGCAAGTACTTTCATTGGAGCTCATTGCTGCCAATGTCTCTAGCCTTGTGAAGAGAACAATTGACAACTCACTGTCATAATTGTCAATAATCAATCATAGCTCTCACAGCTAGGTCGATTGCTGTGAACTCATACCTGCAAACACTTGCTGGTTGCAGCAGGCTTGGTGCAAGCCCCAATCAAAGTTCTATGTTACTCACTCGCTTCATTTGCTTGCCACAGACTTAGCTTGATCATAACACTTTCCAGTTATCTTCTTGTTGTGTTTCCCACAGCGGGTTAGTATGTAGAGATAGCATTTATGCTTACCTAAGATGTGTTTGATACAATGTTTGAATGTTGCATTCCTGCATCCCTCTGCTTTCAAATCCAAACACTATCCATAGTCAGTAACATGCTGACTTTGACCTCATACCTCTATTGATTATGTGCTTGTCTGGATCAAAATGTGGTGCTAATGTTGATCTTACACCTACAAAGCAAGCAAATGAATGCACTTTCATTTAAAGTCAGCTGAAGGGACAACAATGGTATGTTTGGATTATTCTTAAATATATATCTGATACTAACTACACTATGGATACAAAGGACAACCAATGCAACTGCTGTCCTTCATCAATGCAAGACTGCACCATGAGGGAGCACACCTACACACTTCTCAAGACATTGGAAAGAGTTGGATATGAGGTTGAAGATTTAGAGGCTGATCGGTTCCATGAAAGAGGGGAGCTTGAGGAGGCACACATGAGTCAATTCATGGCCCACTAAATGTGCATGGGTGTTGGGGCTGTATTAGAAACATTTGTGCAACATAGGATGCTGAGCATATATGCACATACCTTGTTCCATGCATGTCCCTGGAGACTTTGTGGTTGTGCAAGTCGATAGTATGGTTTTGATTATCTGGTAATATCAGACCCTCAGTTCATTGCTTACATAATGGATGTTCATGAGTTGGGCACATGGGGCTATTGATCTATGTACTAAGTCAATGGTTGGCAACTATCACTAATTCATATTCTTTGGATCAAATGTATCACTCTACCTCAAAGTGCAGCCCATCATATGACCATACACCTGAGAGAGTGAGCAAATGAATGCAATCTAGTTCTGAATCTGTCAAAAGGCTATCACCAGTAAGTACTGACTAATCTGTATGGTTGACTGCTCTTGTTAATGGATGTATTGATCAGCAGGGGACTGAATCAATCTCAGGAGTGCACTCCTCATGGCCGGAGTCCACTTGGAGGGAACATGCTGTCCAGTTGCAAGAGATGCTTGAACAAGTGGAATCCATATCACATATCTCAAGAGCAATCAGGTCTGTAGTTGCATGGAGCTTAAGGAGATTATAAAAAGGCATAAAACAGAGTTAGATGAGATGAGAAAGAAATATGAGGAGGACCTTGAGAGCTATCATGACCATATTGACAATTTGGGAGAGGAGGTATGATATAACACTGTGATACTTGACATCCAGACAAACAACATGGAGTGGCTTGATGCACTAACAAATGCTCAAAGAAAGGAGATAGAGGGCCTCATTAGCCTCTGCATTCAAGATGAGATGGAGAGGTACCAAGCTAATGCTATTGTCAGAGACAAAATTGTCAACTGGATGGATCACACACTCTTGTAACATGTCAGTTGGACACATGCATTTGATATTAAATGTTGCCTGCACCACTAGCTGTTACCATACAATACTCCTCACAACTGAGTTCAGACACATTCCATGACTAGTCAGAATCAACTGCAACCTCAATATATTCTCAATTTGGTGCATTACATTGTTTTTGACATCATGCCATGCACAGGTGGAAAGCCTCCAGGGCCTATGATGCCAATGTCTGGTCACTGTACATCCTGTGATACATTCAGTTCATTTCCACACACTGACTGACTGCTGATGGATGATAGATGTAGCAGATGATATTGCAATGCCATTTTCTTCTGTCCTCAAGGATCTTATCATTGTAGAATACAGGCCATCAATGGACAGAATGGATCCTGACCATGCAGGCAATCCACATGCCTTGGCAGTCCATATGCACATATGCTGGCACATGGACATCTGTGCTAAGGGCCTCCATAATATTCTTGCAGAGTCATTCAGCTTGCTTGCCACACCAATGATGCCAATGAATGGGCTACCCCTGCACAAAGACACCAGGAGCAAGCTACCTGAGGATGCTATATTAAGCCAGGAGAGGAAAAGACGCACCACATTAGCACAAGCAATCTACAGTGCAAAGTTGGACTCACAGATGGTCTGGAGGATTATGGAGCTGGTGCAAGCACTCAGGATTAAGGTGCAGCATGTGAAGAATGCTTGTGATGCTTGGGATGATGATAATTTGGAAGGACCAAGGAAGGCATATGTCAGCCATCAAATGGACACAATTGTGGATCTCACAAGTCAACTAATCATTGGGAATGGGGCAATTCTCAGGCACTGTCATATGGAGTTCTACACCAAGGAGCAGGCACAATCATGGAAGGGGAGAGCGGACAAAATGGAATCATGTGTGTGGGCAGTTGTCAATTTATGTCATCAGTCATTGGAAGAGTTTGATGAGGTCCTAATAGATTCATTGTCCTGGTAGTTAGTAATGCAAGATGTGATTTTGTCATCTGTGTTTAATAAACCTGGCATCTGGAATACTTTATAGTTGAATATCTGAGCATGCCATCATGGTTGGTGAATGTTTGCTACATGGGTGGATCATCTCCTGATGGATACAAGATGTTCCAACTCACTGGTCAGCAACTCTATAATACCACAGGGGTCAGATGGAATAATGCCTTTGCCTCACCATGATTGTATGTACTGATATTGATCTGAATATCAGAACTTGCAGTCATGGTCAGGTAGGATTTTCCCCATAGCTAAGTCCACTTGTTACATTGAAAGGTGTTTCCTACCAAGCTGACCCCATGTGTGAGGGAAATGTAGATAGCTTTCATTTATGTTTGTTTTATGTCTGTATTTACTGTGTTGATTCAAATATTTTACAGGCAAGAGTTGCTTCTAATAGGTCAATTCAGGTAGTGGATGGATCAAAGAACAGGGCCTATTGAAGGAGGCAATAAACACTGCAGAAAAAGGCTGATTATGTATAGGATGGATGTGGCAAAAACCTGCAGATCTGTAGCAGACTTGTGCAAGATTCTTGTCAGGTCTGCTGCAGCTGTAACATTGTCAAACAATTGGTCACAATATTTGTGCATTTGTGTCTCATTTCACATAGATTCTTGTGTAATTTGTTTGCTTTATAATCCCCAACCACCTACCCAGTACTCCCACCACCAGCTGCAGCCTGCTATAGTGCACTGATTACTGTTCATACTCCAACCCATTGGCCATAGTGACAAGCAGATCATATAGCAGTACTGCTGGTGAATCTCAGATATAGTTACAAGCACTGTATGATGTCTGAGTAATGGTACAGTTCAATTCTCCCCCTCACTGTGTCTGTGAACCTTGTGAGACCCAATACTGCAATTGTCACCCATGAGTAGCTTGAAATGAAGATTTCAACCCTGAAAGACCAAACACAAAATGAGTTCCAGTTCCTTTAGAATAAAAACAAGCTTCTCAAAGCCAAAAACTCACACCTGAAGTTGCAATGGAAAGATACAGACAGGTGTTTGCAATGCATCAAAGTGTAAGTCAGCATTGAATATATTGAAGCAGATAATGGTGCAAGTATAGAGAACGAATGACAAGGGTGAGCAGGTAGATAGCAGTAGACAGTAAACTACCATGAATGTGAGGGGAGAGAAGGATAATCAACAGCATGCAAGTGATAATGCAATTCAGAGTGTGTACCTTTTAGTATGTCATGTGGCAAAAAAAAAACAGAACACAATGCTTGAACAAAGGATCTAGTAGGTCAAAGCTTCAGAATTCTGCTAGGCATCCAGAAAGTCAATCTGTAGCACTTCCCAGACTATCTAATGAATATTGGAGAAGGGAAAGGTAAATGGTGCAAATATCCTGCCATAAGGAAAGACTTGATTTCATACTAGACACAAATTGTACTGTTACAGGGAAGAATTAGCCACTTACAGAACCAAACCAGAGAAATCAATCACTCTAACTGGTTGCTAAAAGCGCTTACACCATGGCTCAAGAAATGAAGATCTGTAAGCAATACTTCAGTATATAAAAACTCCTGCAAGCAGTGTCATTACCTCATCATTGCAAGGAAAACCTTTGGTACTCTGGGGCAGACACTGATTTCAACATTCTCTTATCTCCTTGTGCTAGTATATGAGCAGCCATGTGATATTATTAGTATAGCAGGCACATATGCAAAATGGACAAATGTAGCCTTGGAGTTGTATGCAGATAGTGTTCATTGTCATGTCATTGCAAGAAGTGTTGTGGCTGGGTCAAGGGTTTTTATGCACACAAAACTTTGGATTTAGACAAAAAAAAGATCCTGAATTCAACAGATCTAGGGTAGAATATTGCTAGGATCTGGTCATCATGAGAGGATTAGTATGAAATCCCAGCGCTGCTGTGATGTGAGTGTTATGTGCAACAAATGTGGTGTGAATGTCTAGATTCATGAGATGCATCCCAGATGTAATCTGCATTTTTCTGCAGTGCAACTGCTAGCACTTATAGAAAGGGATGCAAACATTGTTATATTGATCACTGCATGGACTAGACTATCAAATATACTGATCACAGCAGAAGAAGCCTGAAAATAAGAAGTAGAGAGTGTGTGCAAGAAGACAGAGCAATATGGTCACTGTCATCGACAGTACACACCTATAGAGGTGAGAAAACCACCAGAAATAGTCCAAGATATGAGGTAGAGTATGTGAAAAAGGACAGAACCAAATGGTCACCATCATCAACAGTATACGCCCATAGAGCTGAGAAAACCAATAGACATAGCCCAAGGAGAAGGAAGATGTGAAGCTAACAAGTGTGCGAAAGAGGACAGAGCAAGGTGGTCACTGTCATCAACAGTATGCACCCATAGAGGCAAGAAAACCACCAATGGAAGGTAATGGTACGAAAGGAAGAAAGAAATTTGCAAAAGGAAAATATATCAACTTGACATCATGTGATACTCCCATGCCACACCAACAGGAATTACAAACTCATTTCTCAGGCATAAGTTAACAGGTCACATGATGCCAAATGTCAATATAAATCAAGCTCCCACTGCTAGTAGTGTTGCTAGTGAACTGAATGGATAGCAGTGTGCATGTCAATCCCCACAGTCTATCAATAATCAGCCATTGCACACTCACCTGCAATGATCATGAGACCATGGACATAGTTGCCCAAATTATCCAATGGTCCACTTTCTGTTGAGTGTTTGATCATGATATTCACAAGGCACATGTGGCTGATGCTCATGCCTGAAGTATTCAAAGGCATCAGACCCTATCCAAATTCACTTCAGGAGGCCATGAAGTGCTGGATGATTACTAGCATTGATGACACCCTTGCTGCAGTAGTGTTTGAAGCATACAATGCTGGGCTGCATGATAGTATGGGTGTAACTCCAGGTTGCATGGGTCCTAGGTCAAGAACATTTGTGAACAGGTGCTCGCTATTCTTTCCTGACCCTGATGCATCACATAAAAATAATACTCAGTGGTCTGCACTATGGGAAGGAGATGGGTATATCACAGAGTTTCACAGGATGATGAAGTTGATGGAAGTGGATCAGCAGGCAGCACTGAAGGAAGGGTTGTGCAAGGTGTGTTCTGACCTGCACTATCTCCCTGCAAGTGGTGTAAGAGTGTGGATGCAGAAGCATGATGCCATAGTATTCACAACAAATCCTGCATTTTACAGGATTGACTGTGTTGGACAGGGGGCAGAGAGTCAGAGAAAGGCTCCAAAAGCGTGTCACACAATGAAGCTGATCAAGGGAAAGTGTTTCTTTGCAGCTGACCTGATGGACTCACAACCATTTGACACTGATGGGAATTTGAGAAGGAAAACAGAGAGGCAAAAGTGTCAGGAGATTCAAAATAAAATGACCATAGCAAAGAGAAACAAGTGAGTTCCCCCTCCCCCACATCATCAGAAATCCAGGCCATTTCCAATGGACACAACAGCATCTGTGGAGTGAGATGAGGAAATGGATGTTGCTTAGCTTACAAATGCCCCATACATAGTGAGCACCTGATGAGGCATATTAGAACCAGCATTAATAGTAAATGGTTAATCTATTGTATACAAATGATTGTTCCTAACTGTGTTAGGCCAAGTGGGCAGAAAGCTCCTTTCTTGACATTGGTTTCACCAGATCACTGGTACATGCTCTTGCAACAATATTATGCAAGATCTTCAGTCATCGGAAATCAGCATGGGGTCAGCTGGACAGAATCCCCTACCTGACTGATGGAATAATTTGATATTCAATGCAAAATCAGATCACTCTATCACCATCATCCAAGGGTGTCAGTGCAGTTGACACCTTTCTTGATAATGAAAGGATTGTCCAACAAAGCTAATCACAATGTAGGACACTATCCTTTCTTATGAGTGGGGCAATCTGGGCAAAAGAATCTTACTTGATTTGATTCATCTCAAGTGCAGTTCCATGCTCAGGATCAAGCAAGTCAATTTGTTATTGTTGAGATAGTTGATACTTATAGAGTTAGCTATACACAGCTAATGTGCATGACACTGGACTTCTCATGGATTCAACCCAATGCAATGTAACTACTAACTGACATCTTTTTATACTACACTCACCAAGTGATTGGAAAGCTCGTTGAGGTCATACTGTATGCTAGATAGTAGTCTTGATGGTGATGGAGCCAGTGTTTTATTTTATTGAATACTCACACCTACAAACACAAAATATAGTGAAGCACACAGAGTATTAGTGAAAGCATGCACCAAAACAATCAACAACCTTGTGAACTTCAGCACTGAGGATGAGCTGAATACTTTGGGAGCTGGCAAAGTTTTCTTTGCTACATTAACAGTACATATTTATGTCAAGACTTATGACAGTGTTCTCAAGTCACTCTACAAGCAGCTCCTGGGTCATAGAGCCTTTGACAATGGTTGCAGCAACATGAAGGAACCATTCATTTAATGTCTGAACACCTACATCAATTACATATCATCATGATAGCATTTTTGACCTTGTACCCTAAGGTCTATTAGATCTACCAGAACCCTGAATGCACAAGGGCATCATCCACCTCTTTCTGCAACTCAGTACACAATGTGACAATGAATGAAACATGTGTCTCTACCTTCATGGCTCTCCTCTCTATGCATGATGCTGTATGGTTGTGACGGAGTACCACTGAATTGATGGTCTTGAGGATTACTGCACTTGTTGTGATGATTTCACCAAGCAACTCCAACACCTTCTTCATCAGTGTGTCAATATATGCCCCATCAGCATCAGTCTCCTCCCAGGTCATGCACTCCTCCATCACCTTGTTCATCTCAAGCTTCTACACCTCAGCAAGATCAATCATTTTGTGCACAGCAATACAGTTCTGCTGCATGATGGCCTCACACTCCATGTTGCAGTTGCCAATGTTGTTGTTAAGGTCATACTCAAAGGATAACTGGATCCAAAGGGCTTCAGCCTCAGCTCATGTGCTGTGCCCCTTACCCAAGTATTGCCCCTTATTTCAGGAAGGCAAGACTAGCGCGTCCAGAAGGTCGGATGAGTAGCGTAACGGATCCAGATGACTTCTGGATGAGGGATAAGTATCGTAAGGCTAATCTGGACAAGTCCAGACTAGAAACTAACAGTAATGGACTGTTGGAGACAGAGGCGGATATGGATAGACTATAGGAATCAATCCTAAGTCTCAGAGGGTGACGAGAGTAGAGGTACTCAAGTCCAGAGGACAGGAATGAGTGGAACTAAGATGATATTTGAACTGAGGTACTACAGAAAGTTACAGGGGGTTATATACTATAGGTATCTAACGGAATGATCAATCAGCAGAGTCCGAGGCTATGTACAAAGCATGTGGATAGTCTATTGGTAAGTAGAGATGGATCACAAATCATGAAACAGAAATGAAACATAGATAGCAGATCAGGGAGCAGGACAGATATACAGATAACCGAAATACTGGAGTTAGGGGGTTACTGAAAGGAGACAAGCACTGGTTGTGGATTCAGATGGGTTGTGGACTGGACTGGATGAGTGGACAGATTGAATGACAAGATGTTGGAGGGAGATAAGATGTGGATCTGAGATGAGATAAGGGTCGGATCTGAGATCTGGATATGCGGATATGACAGTTATTGTCAAAGATAATCGTTTTGTCAAGATCAATAGTGAGCCAAAAGATGTCATGTGCACCGAGTGTTACATTGTGCAAGTGCATTCTGACATGCATAATGACCCACGTCTGGTGCTCATGTGCATCTACACAATCTGCAATGGGTTGTTCTGCAATGACTGATATGGTTGGCTGAAGTCAGTACAATATGTGAACTGAATGCAAGACAGTGCATACCTTCATTAGTTGGCAGTCTCAATGGTCCCACAGGTCATCTGCCAGTGGAAGGCATAATGAAGGATCAAATGGAGTAATGGTTGATAGTTGGCATATGTGGTTAAGATGTAGGCTGTAGAAAGTGTGAAGTGAGGATGGACTTCACCTTATTGATCAGTGACTAAAACAGACTGGTGTCCACAATCACACCACTCACAATTGTTAAATGCAGTGAATGGTAAGTATTTTGTTGTTGAAGATGTATTGGATGTGTGATGCACTTCACAGGATTACTAGCAAGATATAGATTCTACTGAGCATTGTATAATGATTGTGGATGATCATCAGATGTACAAATATCATCCACTTCAGACACTATTTAGCTATGTTCTGTCTCCTTGACCTATCACCCCATCCCCATCATATTTTGTATATGTATAATAGTCACTGCTCATTAGTGTCATGCCACATAACTTTCAATGGAGTATCCTGCATCATGTGCACAATTTGGTACTATGCGATACCATCTCAAAGGCTATATAGTCATCCATGTCAATGAGTATCTGTTAAGAACCATGTTGCTCAAGGGAGAGAGAGACTGACTCAGAGGGGCTTGGCCTCAGCTCATACACTGTGCCCCTTACCTGAGTATGTGCCCTTCATTTCATATGAGGTCCAATGATGGTCTGACAAAGTCTGGAGGAGTGCAGGAGAGTTCTGGAGGAATGCAGGAAGTGCTCAGGAGAGTTCCCACTGCAAGGTAATACTTCTACAGGAAACAGGATGGAAGGATAGGAGGTCCAAGGGTTTGAAGGTCCAGAGGACAGGAGAATGGGATGTCTGAAGATATGGAGGGCAGGATGTCTGAAGGATAGGAGGATAGGACATCTGAGGGTTAGGAGGACAGGATGTCTGAAGGTATGGAGGGCAGGACATCTGAAGGACAGGACACCTGGAGGTCTGGAAGGAATAGGGGCTACATCAGACTCTGTCCAATGTAGAAACAAACAGAGGTAGACTACCCTAAGGTAGAGTCAGAGAGAACAGGGATTGGACCTAAGTCCAGAAAGAGGGTAAGTGCCAGAAAGGCAAAGCTCTGGCCTAGGGAATCAATCCCTAGGCCTGATGGGGAGAGGATTGGGCAAGTAGAGCAAAGTCTAAGATGATATTCACACTGAGGAAACTACAGGAGTATCTACAGGGGTTATATACTGGAGAATATCTGAGGGGATCAGTAAGCAAAGGCACAGGGCTATGTACGAGCATGTGGAAACACATTAGTAAGTAAGACAGAACATAAGTAAATGAACTCGGAGATGAAGACTCATACAAGGATCAATCAGCAAGACAGAACAGGAGGTAACCAAAAGCCAGAAAGGCAGAGATGCCTAAATGGTGATAGGTGCAGGATATTGGACAGAGGGTGGGAATAGGTCCAGAGATCTGGGGATCTGGAAGACAGGGTGGATACAGGACCAGAATATGAGGAGATGGATATAGTCCAGAATCTGAGACAAGGTGAAGTCCAGATGTCTTGCTGGATGGAGTGTGCATAGGGTGGATGGGACAGGGGGGTATGGATCAGGCTAGCAGTAGATATCTGATGGTCCAGAGCTCAGGGGTAAATCCAGAGCAGAGTCGATCCTGCTGAGGTATGGAGCACACAGTGGAAGGGGATCTGGGAATGAGTTGGATATGAAGTGGGGTCTGGATGTAGGCTTGGAAGGCATAGAAATATGATGGAATGTGGGTCCAGATTGTGGGATATGACAGTGTCCAAGTATTGTCTAACCTCTCCTCAACTCCAAGTGTTGGGCCACCTCTCATGCTCTTGAGAACCTGTTGTGTCACCAATCAGTATGAACTCCAGGTTTTTTCTTGCTCCTGATTGAGGTCCCCTGCTTATTGGAGGCACTTGGGTGACAGAAGGGAAATGAGAAAATGAGCGATAAGACAGTCATGCAGATGAGTGGGTATAATTGATATACTTTACTTGAGCTTGTTGGCACATTGAAAATACTTCTTGGAGTGATACACAACATCAAGTGCATAATACACAATCATGTATTGCACAACACAGTCACCTACACGATCTAATGACACTCATCTTGACTTGAATGTTTGGCCAAATAACACGAGAATCATGTAGCATAAACATGAAATCCAATACAATTGACATCGAACACATTGTATTCAAACATGAATTAATTAATTTGAATCCCATATACACTACAGTACACTTACAATCTCACAGTGACAAAGGAAAACACTGTTACAAAGATATAGAAATGCAATACCAGCAAAAGGTGGCCATCAGTAGTGATACCATAATGACCAATGGACAGCAAGATGGCCACCATCATCGACAGTGAATGCCCATATAGGCAAGAAACCACCAACATAGTCCAAGGGTTGCTTGCATGCTAGGAGTGGGAGGAGGAAGAGAAGAGGTGGCTATCATCATCAACAGTAAATGCCCATAGAGGTGAGAAACCACCTGTAAAGGTAATGGTAAGAAAGAAAGAGCAAAATTTGCCAATGTGTGATATACCAACTTCACATTACATGATGTTCTCATGCCATTCACAGACATGACATGATCACATGATGTTCTGGGGTTCAGGATTGCCACCCAGTGATAATTAATGATTCAGAGGTTCATATGCATAAATAGAAGTCAATAAACATTGAAGTGATGATTCTGATTGAACTGGTTTGTGGTCTGACAATAGGTGAGGCTGGTCACTTCATCACCTGCAAGTGACTCATTGTAAATGATGTAGTGTAAAAAATGTGTGATACTAACATCATTCTCTTGATCACAAGTACTTATACAAGGAATCATAGAAATAATGGAGAGTGGTGATAGTGAAGGTGAGTCTGGGGCCCAGAAATGTCTTAATACCACATCAGGCACAAAAGTCATTCCTACACAGTATTGTCTCAGTTGGGGTCACAATAGCATATGCAAAAGAAAGCTAGAGGATGTTCCTTGAGATCCAAAGTCAGTATAATAGTGGGGGCATAGCATCTTCTCACTGGCTGGATTATCAAAATCTACAATGAACACCTTATATTCATCCAAGTATGTGGGATTCTTGTGAAAATGTTTGAAATAAAGAAGGTTCAGTAATGCCTCTGCCAGATATCTTGTGTGTCTATGCTAGTTCATGGTAGAAACAACAAATACTTGAGCTTTGGCATCTGATACAAACTGAGAAACTCCTTGAGTATACATCATACTGGATCATGTGCTGCTTGATTCTCCACAACATGGTTATCCGATTCGAGGAAGAGCACCACATATCTACTACTCAATGGTCCACAGGGCAGGATGAGTTTGAAGAGGAACAAGAGGAGGATGCTGGTGAGGACAGAGTTGGTGATATGTTGTATGATGGAACACCTGGACAGGCATCTTATGGTTGGTTGATAGACTACTTGCTTGAAACCCAGGAGAGGAGGCAGGGGTAGGCAAGAACAAGGTACAATGCATAACATTAGTGAAATAGAACATGTAAGGTACACTAGGCTTACAAAAAATGCACATGACTTTAAACATGAATACATGCAAACAAGTGAGTCCAATGCAAATGGCAAATGAAAGCTCCAACATGAACAAGTATAGCAACAGCTGTGAGCAAGCAAACAACAAATCAAATCTCTTTTGATAACAACCCTTCTTTGAGAGTGATTAACTCAATTTCAAGGTGAAGAGCTGCCACCTTCTCTGACTGAACTTTGGCCTGGGCTTCAAGAAGACAAAGCTTGAGTGTCTTTGCCTCCTGTGACCACTGGTGCACTGAAGCAGCTTCACTGTGCTCAATTACACCCTGCTCCCATTGGAATTGTATATTGCACTCATGGCAGAGCACATTGACCTTGGCAATTTTGTACTCAAAGATAGATTCCTTTGCAGAGTAGATATAGCTTATATTGTCAGTGAGAGACCCCACTTGGTCAAGCACATCTGATGTTCCTGATTAAACATGCCCTGAAAGGCTGCACTTGTGTGCAGTCTTTTTCTGGCCAGGTTTGAGCAAGGTCTGTGAGTCTTGTGATACCATGTGGAATGATGAAGCAAATGTCCATGCAGACAAGCTGGGGGTATTCACCAATGATGATGCCATAGACACTGGTTTTTTTGCATGAGGGGAGCCATGCTCCATGGCATGGGCGGTGTGAGACTTGCCAGTGAAGGCTACTTCATGACAATGATACTGTGAGGTGTGATTTGTTGGCTTGAAGGTGTGGAATAGTGAGGGGGACCTTTGGTGTGGGTGTTTATTGCTTGGACACTGAGTGTCATCCTGTTCCTCATTATCCACTTCCATCTCCAACTCCTCAGTGCTGTTATCCAAATTTCTGAGGTCACACTCCTCAAGTGCAGGGTCAGAGTCATCGTATGTAGGGTCATATGGAGGGTTGTGGCCCCAAATAAAGGTAGCAGGGGGCACACCTTTGTCAAGTGAATTGTCAGTGTCCATATTGTCAAGGTCAGCATCTATATTGTTGAGGTTAGGGTTGGTATTGGAAGGAGTTTGGGATGCAGTAGGATAAGGGGTGTCATTGGGTTCAAAATTTGGAGCCCTCTCTTTCCCCTTTGCTTGTGAGTGCACCATGGAATCATCTGTGGTGGCACTGGAATTTGCAGGATGAGAGGCAACCTGCTTGCCAGTAGGGTGAGAGGTCTGTTTGCATTTAGGCTCTGTTAGCACATGGAGGGCACCAGTGTGATCCCTTCCAGGAATAGAGGAGAAGGTCTTTGGGGCAAAGGCAGGGTTGTCCTTCCACAGTACATCAAGATCTTCAAACCATGAAAATTCAGATGATACTTGTGTTGTAATGTTTCTAGATTAATCAGATAATTTAAATGATTTAAAATAAAACTTGCCTCAAAGATTTACTTTAGATAGAGGGTCAAGAGGGTTGACACTAGTACCAGTCATCCCAAAATGATTGGTTACAGCCTTATACTTCTCCCTGAGACTAAGGTTTTGTTAGTGTTACAGTACCCTAGTCTTTTTCTCATCATCACTGCAGATACCTCATGGCTGTACTTCTTACACTTCCTTTTCACCTTGCTGTCTCCTCATGTTGTTCTCTTATCTCTGTCTCATACTGTGCTTTCTCATGAACCTTCCTTTCTTAGTACTTGTTACTCTTTACCAGCCTGGTCTGTGCACGATTCCTTTACATATATAAACCCTAGCTAGCACTTGTACTTTTCTCCAACTTGAATCTACTGGGTTCTCCTTGATATCTGAACTCTAGCTCCTCAGGAAGGAGGCTAGCCTATGTCTCATTTGAACTCTAGATCCTGTGGGAGTCTAGATGATCACTCCTGAGGGAGGCATTGACTTGACAAGGTCTTATCCTTGGTTGACCCTGATCCTTGATTCCTTTATTGGAACAACTCTATCTAAGTTCATAACAGTTAGTGAATACACATGTAAGGAAGAAGATGCACATACTATGTGAGACAATTGGCAATGGCTCGTCCAAACTTTGGCTAGTTCCCTTCTACAGTGTACTGGGTCCCATATGTCAGGTCGTTTTCAAATACATGTCTAGCAATTACAATGTAGATATTGACTTTACTCTTGCCTGAAGGACAATCAGTGCTGATCACCATGCTGCAATTTTTTTTTGTTATCAGAGAAAAGTATATCACAGTCCGCTGGATGTGTAGCAAGCCAGGATACAAGGATTGTAGTGCCATCAAAATTGGTGGTGTCCAACCTGATCTTGGCAGAGACAAAGCTAGTATCATCCCTATGAGTTGTAGGCCAATCTTCAGGGCCAGTTATGTTTTCATTGTCCAGATCAGTTACAGATTGATGTTGGGAGGGGATCTGGATGGTTGGTACCTCCTCATCCTCATCCCTTCCCACAAGTCACAGTAGTACCCCTCACTCTCCCCCTAGCCCTAGCCCTTCCCCTATCACACAAGGATTTCAAAGGTTGTGGTGGTTGTGGCAGCTGTGGCAACAGTGGTGGTGGTAGTTTGCTTATATTTAGACCAGCAGATATTTGAGAAAGTTGCTTGAGGTGTGCTGAATGCTTTACAGTGGGTGAACATATTGGGGACATTGTGCATGTGTAGCATAAAGTTTTGATTTCAGACTCCAATACTGAAAGTTTGCCTATTTGTTGATGTTTCAGGGAAGTTCCAAGCAAGTTTCAAGGCCAGCTCTGAATCCCACTTATGTTGAATTAAAAGTAGAACATCATTATCCTTAGTCCAGTTGGTACAAAACCTCACCACTAATATTCTTCTTCTGTTCAGGATATTCTTTGATGTTTCCCTTCAGAGGGATCCTATTATTGAAAGGATGTGACAGAAGACATGTACATGTTGGAGGTGTGAAATGCTGATGATGAAGGAGGCACTGTTCCAGATGTGTTGCTGCCTTGTGATAAAGAAATTGATGCCTTGCATTTGTTTGACAAGAGCTCATATATGATAGAAGGAAATCCCAAATGATGAAGAGGAATAGGAAGGCAGTTGAGGTAGAGATGAGGGTGCAATGAATCCTGGTTCATTAATAATGATGATTTGCTTGGAGGTCAGGTTGGTTATTGAATTATTGAATCTCTCTCTTGCCATGATGACTGTTGATCTCTTTGACACACCATCCTGGTCTACTGGCATAGCATCAAGACCACAGCAGATCATAAATCTTTTTTCATACAAGGATCATGTTGCTGACTTTCCAGTAGGGATGGAGGGAACCCTGGAATACATCCCAAGTCAGGCCCTCCTTTTCCCTATCCACCTCTTCAGTCCTGAAATTGTAGATTTCAAGCTTGGCCCATGGTGGAACTATCATGAAATGTGAACAATCTGCCCAAGATATCAGCTCTTTAATAGGATAATGACGAGGATGGTGCAATGATATACTGGCAGGTAGATTTTCATTCCCTTTGAGATAAATGTTAGGAAAGCTATACTTCTCTAATGTAATGACACTAGCTTTAGCAGTAGATATTGTTCCAGTCTTTATGGGTTTAATACTACCACAAAGAATGGTAGGCCAAACTTGAACTTGATGGTAAGGACCAATAATGTTGATACTGATGATGAATGTGGAAAATATATGAGACTCTAAATCATGGCAGATGTGCAAGTAATGTGGTTGGTCCATGCTGCTGTAAGGAAAAGTACCCTACTTACATGTGAGTTCACTAGCAGAAAGGCAAGTTTAAGAGGATCCGCTTACTGTTGTAGTCTATTTATTATTCCTTGCCTGGTCATCCAAGAAGTCCAATGCTAAGGCAAAGTCTCCAATCATACCAGGTGCCAGATCTGAGAAACTGAAGATAAACATGTGCAAATCATGATATGGTTTGCATATACTTGATGGGATCAGTATAGATATTGACATGTTCAGTAAACCCTGCACTACTATGAGTGAAAAGACCATTCCTCAATTGCAATCCAGTCAAGAGAGCTCTGACAAAGAAGCAATGATCCAGCTAGTTGGCAAATATCAACCAAGAAACTTCTACCATGTACTCCATGGACTTCCAGAGAAGATGGTTGGTATGGCAGTACTTGACATTGATAATCAAGATTACTTTAGACCACTCAAATCCACTTGTATTTTCAGCAAGGATGTCATATCCCGTATATCAGACATAGATCCCATCATATTCCCACGCTTTCCAGACCTATTTCTGGACCCCATATCCAACTCATTCCCGGATCCTCTTCTGCCATGTGCTCCACACCTCAGCAGGATTAGCTCTGCTATGGAATTACCCCTGAGCTCTGGACCTCTGGATCCTCACTACTGGCCTGATCCATACACCCCTGTCCACCATATGCACATTCCATCCAGCAAGACATCTGGACTTTACCTCCTCTCAGATTCTGGACTACATCCACCACCTCACATATCTCAGTCCTGTTTTTGCCCTGCCTTCCGGATCCCCAGATCCCCAGATCTCCAGACCTATTCCCACCCTCCATCCAAGATCCTGCGCCTATCCCCATTTCAGCATCTCTGCCTTTTGTCATATGCCATTCTGGACCCTCAACTCTAAATCCACTTCTCCGGACATCTGGATCCGAGATCCAGATCTCCAATGATCTGATCTATCTTTATCTTCCTTCTGGAATCCAAACTCTATATCAGTGCCCAACCCCATTTAGACTTCCCCTGTCTCCAGACTCTGGTTGACTATGTTTCCCTTTTGATTATAGATCTGTTACATACATCTCATTTTCGATATGCATGATTTGTGATCTATCCTACTTACTAATAGACTTTGCATATGCTTCATACATAGCCTTTGTGTTTGCTGACTGATTCCTATATGATACCTACAGTATATAGACCTCCTGTAACTCTCAGAAATACTTCAGTTTGAATATCATCTTAGTTCTTGCTCATTCATGTGTCCTCCGGACTTGAGCCAAGTCTCTTGTCATACTCCGAGTCTTAGGATTGCATCCTAGACTACATCTCCGACTCTACCTTAGGGTGGTCTATCCCCTGTTAATTTCTAGTCCAGACTTTGTCCGGATTAGCCTTATCTGCTTGTCCAAGTAACATCCGGATGTCCATTGGATTTATCTCATATTTCAGATCTGGACGTCCATTATACACCCTAGTCAGATCCCGGAAACTCCGGATGACTATTCTAGCCCCCGGAAATTAAGGGCACATACTCAGGAAAGGGGCACAGCATACAAGCTGAGGCAAAGCCCTTTTGATCCGACCCCCTTGAGCATGTGACCTTAACACCTTTCTGGTTCTTGGTTATCTCTGTTCTGTCTTGCTGATTGATCCTTGTATGAGTCTTCATCTCTGAGTTCATTTAGTTATGTTCCGTCTTACTTCCCACCCTCTGTCCGATATCCTGCACCTATCCCCATTTAGGCATTTCTGCCTTTCTGGCTTTTGGTTACCTCTTGTTCCATCTTGCTTATTGATCCTTGTATGAGTCTTCATCTCCAAGTTCATTTAGTTATGTCCCATCTTACTTACCAATGTGTTTCCACATGCTCATACATAGCCTTACTCGGTTGCTTACTGATCCTCTTGGATATCCTCTAGTATATAACCCCTGTACAACTCCTGTAGAGTCCTCAGTCTGAATATCATCTTAGATCCTGTTTATCACCTTAGATCTGCCCAACCATCTTCCAGACTTCAGTCTGTCTGAGTCTCATCCTTTTCCATAAGGCCTAGGGATGGATTCCCTGGGCCAGAATTCCAGACCTTCGGATTTGCCCCTATGTCTCTGTCCCCATATCTAGGGATTGCTTCCCTAGGCTGGAGTCTTGCCTTTCCGGCACTTCCCTCTTTCTGGACTTTGGTCCACTTCCTGTCTCTCTGACTCTACCTAAGGGTAGTCTACCTCTGTTTGCTTCTACATCAGACTTCATCTGATGTAGCCCCTATTCCTTCTGGACCTCCAGACCTCCTGTCTTCTGTACCTCTGGATATCCTGTCCTTTGGACATTCCACCCTCCATACCTTCAGATGTCCCACCCTCCTAACCCTCGGACATCCTGTCCTCCAGACCTTCAGTCCTCCTGTCCTCCATACTTCCAGACCTCTGGACCTCCTATCCTTCCATCCTGTTTCCTGTAGAAGTATTACCTTGCAGTGGGAACTCTCCTGAGCACTTCCTGCATTCCTCTGTAACTCTCCTGTGCTCCTCCAGACATTTCCTGCACTCCTCCGGAAGTCCTCTAGCACTCTCCACCAGAGTCTCCAGCCTCTGGAAGTCCTTTGGACTTTGACAGACTGTCATATCCCATATGCCAGACATAGATCCCATCATATTCCCACGCTTTCCGGACCTATTTCCGGACCCCATATCTGACTCATTCCTGGATCCCCTATCCTGTCCACCCTACGCACATTCCATCCAGCAAGACATCTGGACTTTACCTCCTCTTGGATTCCAGACTACATCCACCACCTCACATATCTCAGTCCTGTTTCCGCCCTGCCTTCCGGATCCCCAGATCTCCAGACCTCCGGATATTAACTGTACTATCTCTGGACCATTCCCACCCTCCATCCAAGATCCTGCACCTATCCCCATTTAGGCATCTCCACCTTTCTGGTTCTCAGTT